GGAGCTCGGTGCTATCTGGCAAGTGTTCAAGGGTGACACTGTGCTCTTTGGCATGTGGATCACCAGCCCCATCGCCTTGGCCGCCGTCTCACTCGCAGTCTACGCCTTGATCAACGGCAACCTTATTCCCTCGGTCGCCTTTGTCAGTATTGGTGTCTTCAAGAACCTCGAGGTTACCTTGGCTGTCATTCCCGAGCTTATAACGGATGTCATCGATGCGAATGTTTCCATCAAGCGAATGCAGGACTACCTCAACGGACCCGAAAAGACCCAGACCGTCACTAATGGTCCCGATGTTGCCTTTGAGAACGCTTCAATCGCATGGCCGGTTGATGAGGAGACCAAGGACGAGGATCGCTTCATCCTGCGAAACGTCGACGTTACTTTCCCTGCCGGGGAGCTGTCTGTCATTTCTGGCAAGACGGGTACCGGAAAGAGTTTGATCCTGGCGGCTCTGTTGGGCGAAGCTGATCTTCTGTCTGGCGCAATTTACGCACCCAAGCCCCCTTCCCTGAAAGAGCGCCACGACGACAAGGCCAACCGCGACAACTGGATCATCCCTGAGAGCATCTCTTTTGTTGGTCAGATCCCCTGGATTGAGAATGCCACCCTGAAGAAGAATATTCTCTTCGGACTTCCCTTGGACGAGGAACGGTACAACAAGACTATTGATGCATGCGCCCTGAGGAAGGATCTGGAAATGCTTTCGGATGGAGATAAGACCGAGTTGGGAGCCAACGGCATCAACCTCAGTGGTGGTCAGAAGTGGCGACTTACCCTGGCTAGAGCCATCTACTCCCGCGCCGGCATTCTTGTTTTGGACGATATCTTCAGCGCGGTTGACGCCCACGTCGGTCGCCACATCTACGAGAAATGTTTGACCGGCGAGCTCTGCAAGGAACGCACTCGTATTCTTGTCACGCACCATGTAGCTCTTGTCGAGCCAAAGACCAAGTTCATCGTTGAGCTTGGAGACGGAACCGTTCAACACTCTGGCTTCAAGTCTGATCTGGATGAAGATGGAACGCTGCAGTTGATCAAGAGTCACGAGCAGTCTGCCCAGGAGATCGCTGATGAGGAAGCCGCCACCGCCGTCAACTCAGAGGAAGCATCTGACGTCGATGCGCCCGAGGTTGCTGAACTCAACGGCGATGGCGGAGTCCTTAAGAAGATCCCCTCAAAGGCTACCCGTCAATTTGTCGAAGACGAAGCTCGCGAGCAGGGTGCCATCAAGAAGCATGTCTACGCCGCCTATCTTAGCCAGAGTGGCGGCTGGCCTTGGTGGGGCTTCGGTTTCTTCCTCTTTGCTCTCTACCAGGGCGTCGTTATCGCACGTTCCTGGTGGTTGCGTCTTTGGACCGGTCACTACGAAGAGCAAAGCCTCGACACACTTGCGACTGTGCACCAGCATGCTTATGCCTACACTCTCCAAGACAGTTCCCTCCATGCCCCGCACGCTGCGCCTTCAGGATTCGCCCGCATCCAATCCGAGAATGACGATTTCTACTTCTACCTGGGTATCTACGTCGGAATCTCCGCCTTCTCTGCCATTCTGGGAACCGGTCGCTTCTTCTACTTCTTCTGTATGAGCTACAAGGCCAGTCAAAGCATGTTCAAGGGTATCACTAGGACTGTTCTCCGCACACCGCTGCGATGGCTCGATACCGTCCCCACCGGCCGCATCCTCAACCGTTTCACTGCCGACTTTAACGTCATTGACAACAGACTCGGCATGGATCTTTCTGGTGTTTTCGGTGCCATTCTCAGCGTCATTGGAATCTGCATTACGGCGTTCTCGGTCTCTCCCATGATCATTCCCTTGGCTGTTGTGCTTCTGTCCATTGCCATTTGGATCGGCAGGCGCTACCTGGCCGGCGCCAGACCCGCGAAGCGACTTGAGAGTACCGTCAAGTCCCCTATCTTTGATCTTTTCGGTTCCACTCTGACTGGTATGATGACCATTCGTGGAGCTGACAAGGCGCAGACTTATGTTGACGCCATGTACACGAGGCTGGATGACTACGGGATGGCATCGTGGTACTTGTGGCTGTTCAACCGATGGATGGGCTGGCGCATGTCTCTCATCGGCGCTCTCTTCTCTACTGCTGTCGGTCTTGTTGTTCTTGGCAGCCCGTACATGAGTGCCTCGCTCGCCGGTTTCACTCTCTCCTTCGCGCTGGAGTTCTCTCAGGCTATCGTCTGGTCCATTCGACACTACGCCAACATTGAGCTCGACATGAACGCAGCCGAGCGTGTAGTTGAGTACTCCGACCTCAAGACCGAAGACCAAGGTGGTGTCGAGCCCCCTGCGACCTGGCCAACTGAGGGTCGCGTGGAGGTCAAGGATCTTGTTGTGAGCTACGCGGAGGACTTGTCACCCGTGTTGAAGGGTCTTACCTTCAGCGTCAAGCAAAACGAGAGAATCGGCGTAGTTGGTCGTACCGGAGCTGGAAAGTCGTCCTTAACCTTGGCGCTTTTCCGTTTCTTAGAGGCCAAGTCCGGAAGCATTCATGTCGATGGCGTGGACATTTCCAAGATCAGGCTTCACGACCTTCGATCCCGATTGGCCATCATTCCTCAGGTAAGATAAACTTGACTCTCCTAAGACACAGAGACTAACAAAAATTAGGACCCCGTTCTTTTCTCCGGCACCGTCCGCTCCAACCTGGATCCATTTGATAACCAGACCGATATTGAACTGCGCGACTCTCTTCAGCGTGTGCACCTTGTCGACTCATCACCCTCTACCCCTGGCGAGCCCTCCAGCAGCGCCACGCCCTCACTCAACGGAGCCAAGAACGTCAACGTCTTCCGCAATCTCAACTCGGCCATCTCCGAAGGTGGCGGCAACCTTTCCCAGGGCCAGCGCCAACTCCTCTGCCTTGCTCGCGCCATCGTCTCTCGTCCCAAGGTCATGGTCCTCGATGAGGCCACCTCTGCTGTCGACATGAACACTGATGCGCTCATTCAACGATCCATTCGCGAGGAGTTCAACGACTCGACGCTTATCGTCATTGCCCACCGTCTTAGCACGATTGCTGACTTTGACCGCATCTTGGTGCTCAGCGACGGCTCGGTCGCCGAGTTCGGCTCACCGAAGGAGCTTTGGGACAAGGAGGGCGGTGTGTTCCGTGGGATGTGCGAGGAGAGTGGTGAGAAGGAGAAGTTGAAGAATATCATTTTTGGTTAGAGTTTCATTGCAGCGGATTGGATAGTATCGATTACGAGAAAGCCCAGGCTTAAAGATCGCCGGGAATGCGATGCTCGCTGGGAGTGTTTGTTTCGTTGTATTGCGTTGGAGCATCTCTATTTTTCGTCTGATTAGTACAAAAGTGGCACAAAAGCCGGGCTTATAGAACAAGTCCTTGATTGGAATGCGAAGACACAAGAGACTTTGGTTTCTCAACATTCACGTTATTGTCAAGCAATTGAAGCGCACGGCTTTTCTGACAGTGTTCGTATGGCTTATATCGATATTCCCACACAGCTAGGGGAATTTTTGTCTGGTGATATTTTGAACAAGCATCCAATCGTTTGATAGCCTTCAACATACGAAAGGGGCACTATATAAATCTCCAATGTTGCGAAGTTCGCGAGCTCACCTATGCTGAGGTAGACGCAACAACAGTGAACGACCTAAATCACGTGTATCTCTTAGTGCCCATTCCACGGAGGAGGAAGATAGTTCGAAGCCGTCTCGCTAGTGATCCGTGTCTAAGACGGGAGAACGTCAGCGTGGCTTGAACTAGCCTAGAAACTCCTGTTTATATCCTACACGTGATTGGCTTCGGGTCGTCGTCTCAGAAAGCGGCTTAATCCAACGTCCAGGCAACAACACACAAAATCAACAACAATACCCGAGCCACCCCTCTGTCCATCATCACCACTCGCTGCAAACGAGTCACGCACCGCGCTTCACCGGCATCTCACATCCGGATCCTCCCATCTTACATTACAACACACGAAGCTCTCGGCGACTAAAACAACTACTCTCATTAAACAAACTAAACAAAAGAAACCATGACGTCCATCAGCCCCACGAGTCCGTTCCACACCCTCTGGAAACCCGCCGCGCTGCCCCTCTTCACGGGGCTCCTCGCGCTCCTCGGCGCCGGCGACGGCCTCATGAACCTCACGCAGCCCGAGACCGGCGCCGGCAATTTCGGCCTCATCCCACCTTCGCGCGCATCCGTCTCGCCGGCGCAGTTCGACGCCTTCCACCACGCCCTTATCAAGGTCAAGGGCGCGCGCAACCTGCACATGTCGGCAAGCATCCTGGGGCTGCTGCTCTACGCCCAGTTCTCCGAGGCGTGCCGCGCGTCGCCGGCCGCAAGGGAGGCGGTGCACCGGTGCGTGGGCATCGTGCTCACGCTGGGTACGGGCGTCGGGCTCAGCGGCGCGTTTGTGATTTGGGAGTACGTCAAGAGTGTCAAGACTGAGAGCTCGAGGAAGGAGATCGAGGTGGGCAGGGCCAAGGCCAAGGCGCATTTCATCACGAGTCTGCCGATATTGGCGCTGGGGCTGACGTATTTGTTCTACTGATGGTTGTGTGGTGTGATTTACGAGGAGGTGGGAGAGTGTGTGAATAGTGTTGTCTGGGTATGAATCTCTGCTTCGTTTTCTATGTTGTACAATACATGACTTGGGATTGATTAGTGGTGCTCTCGCCTCATGAGCGGAATTAGTATTTGTTAGTAAGATCTCATTAGGTAACTCGTCGTATGCGTGGACATGACTGAGAGCTGTGATGATGATGGAACTAAATCAGGCAGCATCGAATTCAAGAGGCACGGCTACATATCATTGACCGACCACCGTCCTGAATGCGTTAGCTTGGATTTGTCCCCGCTCTCATATCTTCCCGATCATCAGTGTCAAAAGTCCCTTTGAACCACCAACCATTCTTCTACAGGCAGTCCTTCACTCTACTTCTCATCCCTCCATCTCACACGCCCACCTTCCTCCCAAAAGCCTCAAACCCTTTACGTCAAGTTATCAAGATGAGCGCTCAACCCAGCAGCGTCGACTTCACCCTTCACTATGTCGTACCCGACGATGTCGATGACCTCGTCAGAGTGCACACCGCCGCCTTCAAGATGGACCAGTTCTCGAACCTGATGCTGCTCGGCCGCGCCGACGACGCCCACGAGAATCTCATGCGCAAAGCCATCGAGGGCTGGGTCACTGCTCCAGAGGCCAGTCTTATGAAAGCGATCGACTCAAGCGGTCGGGTTTTGGGGTGGGCTTGTTGGATAGTGAAAGATGCGACTGGCGGAGACAGGGTAGCTGTTGCCAAGGCGGAGTCAAAGGGCGGCAGCAGCGTGGATAAGGCGGAGGGAGTCGAGACATCAGCCGTGGAGAAGAAAGAGGAACCGCCAAAGGAAGATCCGGCTCGGGCTCTGGGCGGTCTTATGTATAAGGAGAGAGTGGCGATGGAGGAGAGATACATGAAGGGAAAGAGGTACGCGGTGCTGCAGGGTCTTGCCACGGATCCGAATTATCAACGACGGGGGATTGCGACCAAGCTGGTTCAGGCGGGACTTGAGGTAATTGACTTGGAGGGCCTCGCATGCTGGATCCATGCCTCGCCTTCAAGTTATGGTGTGTACGCAAAGGTTGGGTTTGAGGAGGTTGGGAGGAACGAGTATGACCTGGACGAGTGGGCTTCAGGTGGTCGACAGGGCGACAACCGTTGGGGCCGGTATATTTTTAGGCACATGCTCAGGAAAGAAAATCCTTCCTGACTTTTATGTACCGAGATAGAACCAGTCTTCCCAGAAAGCTAGCTGTTGGGGGGTGCAATCTTGTCTACTCCATCCCGTTTTCACAATAGCTTTTACCAGTTGCGGGTTAGCAAGCCATTCAAAATGACCACACAGCTAACTTCTAGCCGTGGAGACTTGATAAATGAGTGTGTGTGTTATTGAGTCTCACACATGAGGCAGACCGTCAAAGTCCTCGGTACCAAATCTGTCCACGCCAACAAAAGAAAGTCATCAATCTGTTCATACATCGTAACCCGACTGCCGACATGAAAACCCAGGCAAAAAAGAGTATCATCCTACAGACCACCTATCACAAGGCGACTAGTCAGAGTAAATGTCCTCGTCCTCTTCTTCGACGTCAAGCTCGCTCTCGCCGTCGTAGACATTTCCACTCCGGAGATAGTCCCTGAATCCGCGACTCATCTTGACAACGGCCCGAAGATGCTTGTCAGTGACGGTGATTCGCTCACTTCCACCCTCAGCAGCATCGCTCTCAGCGAGGGCGAGCGCAGTCTGCAACGCGTTCCTAATCTCTCTGCCATTCCACCTCAAGAGTCTCACATCACGCGACTCCCACGCATAGTCCCTTGCCGCGGCGGCAACACGGACACGCCCACTCGAGTCTCGATCGAGCCTCTCAAAGTTGTTGGCCCAGATGCGCTCGCGGTCGAGGTCCGTCAGGTTCTTGTAGTGCAGCGCGACGTGGATCCTCGACGTAAAGGCTGCGTCAAAGGCCTGGACGCGGTTCGTCGTCAGGAAGAGCACGCCGCGGTAGTACTCGAGCGCGCGCAGGAAGACGGAGACGAGGCCGTTCCGGGCAATGTCCTTGGCGCGGCGGCGCTCGAGGTAGACGTCGGCCTCGTCGAGCAGCACGAGCGCGCCGAAGCGCTGGCCGAGCTCGAGGAAGTAGGAGAGGTTGTTCTCCACGGCGTGCGAGTTCACGCTCAGGTCGCCCGAGGTGAGCGAGATGAGGGGCCGGTTGGTGAGCTCGGCGACGCACTCGGCGGTGCAGGTCTTGCCGACGCCGGGTGCGCCGTGGAGGAGGAAGATGCGGCCCTCGCCCTTGTTCTTGACGAAGTCGTTGCCCCAAGGGGAGACTCTGCCCGAGTCGGTCGTGGCGAACTTGCCGATGAGAGCCTTGACCGTCAACTTGATCTCGTCGTCGAGGACGAGATACTTGAAGGCCTCGTGGTCGGTGACGACGGGCTTGAGGTGCTCGAGGTTCAAGTGGCCCCAGTGGCGCTCGCCGAGGAGGAAGGCAGGGATGACCTTGATGCAAGCAATGTAGAAGAGGTCGCTGGTTGGAGCGGCGGACTTGGTGGGGTAGACGTTGTCGAAGACTGCATAGGTTCCTGGCTCCTCCTGGTCTTTGGAGTCGGCACATGCTTTGCAACCACACCGTGGAAGGAAGTGAGGGAGATGGTCTTGCTCTGGTGGAGGACCCTGGCCGGGAGGGAGGCCAGCAGGTCTCCGCGAGCGGTGATGACGGTTCTCGGGAGAGTGCGAGGCGAATCTATTGAAGCCCTCAGCGTCGCAAATAACTCGTCCAGTCATCTGAGCAGGTATTAGTTACATGTTCCGTTGATTGAGGGTAGTGAGAAGCGACTTACGTAGCCTGATGGCTCGCGGAAGGCAGGCCCAGCACGCGAGCTCGCGGACTGCACCAACAAGCCGTCATATTCCATGTAAGTCGGTCGCTGAAGGAGTTCCCAGTATAGCTTGCCCAACTTGATCTGCTTCTCGAGCATCTTCTCGGGCGCGTCGGGGTAGAAGCGAGCCGGCATTACATCCAGAGAGTGGATGACCTGCTCGCCGGGCCACGAGGGCAGCTTGTACTGCACCATCTTGCGGACCATCTTGCTGTTGCCCATCTCGAGCAGCCAGCAGGCCACCATCCACTGGCGTCTATGTCCAGACGAGGTCGTCTCCTGGCTCAGACTGCTGACGATAAGGGGCTGCCAGACGTCCTCGTTGTTCACGTAGACGATCTCGCCCGGCTTGAGCGCCATCCAGTAGTTCTCAAACGTCGCAACGGGGGTGCCGCGAGCGTACCGTTCTTCCTCCTTGCGGATGGATTCACCGACGGTCTGTTCGATGAAGTTGAGGAGAACGTCAATGTGCTCAGCCGTGGTGCGGGCGTACTCGGAAGAGTGGTGGGAAGGCTGGTGGAACTTGTATTTTGTTAGAGCATCACGATGATGGACGACGGCGCGATACGGCGCGTCTATCTTGACAGTGTCCCCGAGGAGGTTAATGTTGGGGTAGTAGGCCACGGTCGCCCTTAGAGCATTGATGAGGTGCGGAGAGTGAATGATCATGCGGGTGCGCTCTACCGTCAACTTTCCCGGGACATCATCATCACTACTGTCGGAGTCATACGACACATAGTCATCATCGTCGTCGAAAACGGGAGGCGGGCGCGGAGGGGGCATGCGGCGATAATGAACAGTCCTGCTCCCGCCGGTATAGGCCGAGATCTTGGTCACGATCTCGAGGACTGGTTCAACGTCTCGCTTGGCCGTGCTCTCGTCGTCTCTCGCCCCATAGTCTGGGATCTCCTTGAATGGGACGTCGCTCTCTCGGCCTTGACAGTTGGGTCAGCCAGATTCGCGGAACAACATCAGAGTGTTACATACTTTCTATGACCTTGCCGCCAAGGCTGACATGTTGCAACACGTACAACACGTCAGGGGTCGGCTTGGGTGCTGGCTTCTGCTGGGTGACTAGAGCCTTTTCGTCGCCAGGAGGCGAGACGCGTCGGAAAGCGACCTCCTCGTAGCTAACCGTGGAGCCGGTCTCGTCGTCGATGGTCTTTCTCATGTTAGCGACAGATATTGCGCGCGGTTGAGTAGAACCTTACCCTATCGCCTCGGCCGATCATATTGGGCAATACGTTTTGAAGCAGGAATTGAACAAGCCTGGAAGGAAAAGAACAATGGGAGAACAAAGGGGACAGGAAGCCTAGATAAGGAAGAAGATTCGGAGGCCACTGATGACCTACAATGCCTTGCGGCCTAATGCGGCTCAAGTAACATCGGTACAGCAGCAAGCTGAGCGTCGATTACTCCGAAGTACCACGCTTCTCAACCGCCGTGTCATTGGTGCTGAAGTAGGGCGAGCATACCCCGCCTCGAATCGATGACTCTGGCCTCATGTCAACTGATTGGCAGATGAATGTGCAGTTGTTTTAGACTCGCATAAAGAGCGATTCGACGTGTGAGACGGCAAGGCAGCCAGGCATGTAGTGGTTCGCGAGGCGCTCTGCTGCCTGGATAGGCCGCAGTCTCCAATCGGAACGTCAGGTTGAACGCTGGGCTGATAGAAGTGCAGAAGCAGTGAGACTGCAACGTCGAGACTAGCGCCGAATCACGTGTGTTTTCGTGGTGAGAGAGATGCTCTTCGAGATACCTTAGTTCATCGCCTTGGAGAACTGCAGATTTGCGAGGTGCAGAGTGTGTCATGGACGCCGCAGGTCGCAGATGCAGACGACTGTGAGAAAAGACTCGATATTCGCCTACCTAAGAGGAATGGTAGGAGCCTGCTTGCTTGGTTACACGGTATGCACTACTTCCCAAGATATACCTCCCATCGAAAATGTATCCTGGAACGCCTCAGACCCCCCACGCTATTCTATACCCGCCATGAGCCAAACGCCGAGATATTGTATCCTTGGAAGAAAATGCAGAAGGCAGTGAGCGTCACACTTAGTTGTTGGCATTTCTTGCTGTTGTGTTCACGTTACTAGCGTGCGCCAGCAGAAACTTGCAACATGTCAGTGTCAGCTTGCAGGCCTTGGTCCAGCCGTCGTCTTGGGTCATTCCCAGCTTGATGCTGACGTCCATGATCTTGTCACCCTCAATCTTGTAAGGTAAACTAAGCGGATGGCCGTCTGCTGCGGTCTGCCTATGGACAAAAGCACCGAGCTGTCTCACGAGTTCGAGAAAGGCGACCATGGCGTTATCGAACTTGCGGTGCATAAACGTCAAGCCGAGAGGCAGGTCTCCGGCGGAGAAGAGCTCCAGAACATGCTTCTTCGGTGCTGGAGGTGGGGCGTTGCGATGAGAACCAAGACGGCTGGCAGCGGGGGAGGGCAGCTCATATCGAACGATCTTGGAGGTGCTTCCCATGGGTTGCGGTTCGAACCCGTCGAATTTGTAGCCAAGCTTGTCCGCCACGGTGACGAGCAACAACAAAGCATGCCCCCATGCGGCATTGATCTCGGGCCAATCCACAGGCTTGCTAGAGGTCCTACCCAGTCTCAAGCCGTTGATGGTAGCAAAAGTGCCGTCGTGACTGATGCAGAAAGTGTCATTGTATACGTTGGATCGCTGCAACTTCTCCAGCAGTTGGGCGTCGTTGTCGAATTTGGAGTTGATGCTGTCGCGCTCGTTCTGAAAGTCGGCCAGCTTCATCGCAAAGGTGTTGCGCTCGCGCCAGAACTGTTCCTCCTCCCGATCGAGTTGCTGCGCTTCCTCCTCCAGAGCAACAATTTCGGCGTCCACTGCTGCCTTCTCCTTTTCTAAGCGCAGCAGTTCCGCCATCGCTTCGGACTCGGCCTGCTTTGCCTGCTTAAGTGCCTCCTCTTGCGCCTTTACCTCCTCCTCGCTGGGTTGATCGCTTTGGACTTGCTTCAGAAACCCAACGTACGCGTCGCGCTCTCTCGCCGCACCCTCGAGCTTTTTCTGCAGGCCCTCCACCAGCATGTCCGTACATTCCACGCAGACAGGGTGGTCGATATCGGATCTCGCGGATAGAATCTCGAATAGCTTGTGGATGCGTTCCACTTCGTGTGCTTTACTGGACGGTTCCTCCTGGCCTTTTGAACCAGCCTTGCCTCCTTTATTTGACTTCGGGTTCGCTGGTTGGGGTTCTGGTCTCGAAAGCACGGGCTGCGCGACTTGGGACTCGGTCAGGTAGATGAATGACATTGTCGAGTCTTTTTGCGCCGAGCCCGACGGGCCACTGCCGTGGCGCTTGAATGTTGCTGAAGCAGCATTTTGGGACACCTTATCGTAAAGTGCCTTTCTCTGGCTGTCTTGGGAGTGTGGGATTCGTGAGGAGTGCGACTTTTTGGGGGACGTTTGCGAAGAGGAAGCTGTAACGGTTAGCTAGGCACCGCGACACAAGGAATCTGAAGCTTGCACGGACCGACCAGGAGATCGTATGCGGCGGGATTCAGGTCCTCGAGGGAGCTGTCGAGCTTGAGGGGTGTGCGACACTTTTGGCAGTACATCGTATCGTTGCGCGCATGCTTGCGCGACTCGCGGTGTAGGTGGCAGGTGTTCGGCGGCGGGAGGTAGTTGGTAGGTTGAGGATGTTCAAGGTCTGAGGTGGTGATGTAATCGGGCGTTGGTAGGCACGCAGTTGGTCTGGTGAACTTTAGAGAGGCTCAGTGGAGGGGCGCAGCTGACTCCAGCGGTGTCCTGGTCCGTTCTAGGGGGCTCTGTCTTAATGTCACGCTAATTTCTTTTAGAGTCGCTGCAAGTCAGGGACAGTCACAGCGGTCCTCCCTGGCAACCGCACCACCCCACGTGGTCCGTGCCCTTCCACTTTACGCGAGAGCTTGAAGAGTCCGTGCGTCGCATGCGACCGCGTCTTTCAATCTCAGGGTCAACAAGTTGATGTTGGCCGACCTCATCACCGCCATTGGATGCCAATCGTCGGCGTCGTCGGCGTCATCCGATCCTTCATAAAACTATGAGAGGATCGCGCCTCATTGGCGCCTGCGAGTCACCATGGAGCCTCCAGCCAAGCGACCGAGGACCGGCCCATCACCCCTGGGTCAACAACAAAATGACGAGGACGATGAGCTCAACTATGAGCCGGAAGAGGTGTCTCAGATGCGGGATCCCGGCTACCAGCTTGAACAGTCTCGGAACTTCGCAGCCTTCAAACTGAAGTCAACATTTGAGCACATATTCGCAAAATACGAAAAGGACTTCACGGGCATTGGTGACGAGATTGACCTGAAAACTGGCAAGGTTGTCATCAACAATGGTCACTTGGAGAACATGCGACATGAGAGGGACATGGGCGTTCCGGACGAGGAAGAGGAGGAAGACGAGGGGATGCTTCTGGAGGAGGCTTTTGGCTCTGATGACGAAGAGGAAGATGATGAGGAGCATGAAACCGAAACTGTAGGCCAGCCCGACGAAGAGGAGGAAGAGAGAATTCTGCACGGGAAGAAGGGCGGAAGTACTTCTACAGCTCTTGTTCGCAGACTAAGTACCGAAATTCAGCGACGCCCGAGTCTATCAAGTATTGGAGGGTTAGGGTCAGAGCAGCGACTGTCAAGTCTCGTGGCGCCGCGCAGGCCGGGGTCTAGCAGCTCGGTTCTCCCTGGGAGTGTCTGGGGCGCAGATCCAGAGCCCGCCGACCCGACATGGAAGGTTCCCGAGATTCGCAAACCAAAACTTGGCGATAGTCTGATGGCGAACATGCACGGCTCGAGATATCGCCTCCCTATCAGTTACCAGTCTATCTGGTCCTCAAGACCAGACACGGAGGAGGAGAAGATGACCGCTGATCCCGCCCGAATCGACATGAAGATGCTGTCACGCGCGCGGCAAGAGTCCATGAGAGTGGGAAGGCCTACGTCGATGAAACTTTTACAAGCGTTCACTGCCCAGGATGACGACAACGACGACGACATTCTCGGTGTTTCAATTGCGGAGCGGGCACCCAGGGCCGAGAAGAAGAAAGAACCAACATCGACTGGAGATCGGGAACCAAGTGTTGAAACACCAGACAAAAACGCTGAGGAAGATCAGCCTGTAGTATCCGTTGAAGATTCAGCAACCCAGGAAGCACCGACAAAGCCGTCCCCCTCTCAAAAAGAAGCTACAAGCAAATCGAAGAAACAAAAACCATCGAAGGGACAGCAAGGAAAGGAGAAACTGCAAGCCATTCAGGCCAAAGTACAGCCAGCAGAAAACCACGTCGAACCAGGCAAAGTACAGTCTGCAGAGCTGGCTGATGCAGCTCAGATCTCGTCAGAGACACCCAACTTCGTTACGGGCGACGAGGCTCAGAGATTACCAAAGCAGAAGCTTGTCATCGAATTGCTATCAAAGACCCCTCCGCTGGGAGAAGTTACAGAGGTGCTAGAGCCTGAGGATGCCGATACCTACGGGTTGAATGAAGCCTTCGAGCTTCGGACACAATCGGATACAGCAGGCCCTGGAGAAATCCCCGGAGCTTCTGAGCTGCAGATTGATCCGGACACGATTATGCCCGAGACAGACGGCATTTCCGCAGCGAAGCCCTCCGAAACCACCGAGAAACAACCCAGCAAAGCCCCTGAACCACCAAAAGAGAAATTCATCAGACACCATATCGACCCCTCCTACGACTTCTCGGACGACGAGGAGGGCATTCCTACTACGCGAGTCGCAGCGAGGACCCAGAAACCTGCTCCAGCCTCCCCTATCGGAAATACGAATGCCCCAGTCCCAAATGATATCGAATATGTGGCTTCTACGTCTAAGGTGCCATTAAATGATGCAGAGACAACGACAGCCAACGAGGAGAAGGAGGAAGATGGTGAAGACCAGATCCAGACTTCACCGGCGACTCCCCTTGCAGACAAGCTGGACGGGATGGACCTCGACGCTCCGCAGCCGGGATCGCCGGAAGCTCCCGCTGAGGCACCGGAAGAGCTCCCTGACATGGGAGAGCAGAGTTCTCCGAGAGAAAGCACTGAGGATCCCACCACAATGGAGCAGCGGTCCGTTGCAGAACCTGACGAGGAAGATACAATCCTACCTGACGTCGAGACAGAAGGGCCGGAGGTGGCGGATACGGTCGAAGCACCATCCAGCCCTGTCAACTCACCCATCGCCATCCCCGAAGACGTACATCTCCCAGACAGTCAAGACAACCAAGAAAACCAAGAAGAAGGCTTCTCCGTCCCTCTCTTGGACGACATCGGCGCAGAAAGCGCAACGGAGCCTGAGGCTGAACCTGAGCCAGAATCAGTGGATATCGAACTGCCAGCTCTCCCCTTCCCAACCCATAACCCACCATCAAACCCGCCCCGTTCAAAACCTGGCCGTCCCAGAAAGTCCAACGCAGTCCCAGAAAACGGCGCGACGTCCCCGATGCGAACCCTCAACCTCAACTCAAGCAGCCCCCTCAAACGCCGCGCCTCAAACGCCCTCAAACCACGCAAATCAGTCAAATTCAACATGAAGCCATCCTTGCCCGCGGCAGCCGACACTCACCACCACGAACAGCCCTCCCTTCCCGCCCCCCCTTCATCCTCAACCATAAAAGCCTCCCCGCGCACCCCTTCCGCCCGCCGCTCCTTCATCTCCCTCCTCTCAGACAACGAAGACGAACTCACTCTCGACGTCTTCAAGTCCTGGACAAACACCAGTGGCGGCTCCGCCCCGGGCTCCAGCGGCCGCAAAAAGACGTCCTACGCGCCCGTGCTACTCGCCGGCCCGCAGACCAAGATCACGACGCCCATGAAGCAGCGCAGCCACAACGTCGGAAGTGGCGGTGGAACGGACAGGGGCAAGAAGCGCAAGGCGGCGTGGGCCTTTGCTGTGACGCCGACAAAGGTGCGATTCGGCAGTCCATCCGGCTCGCTTGTCAAGACGCCCGGTGGTCACATGAGGCGGTGCGGAGAGGATGGATTCAAATGCGATAGGGATTTTTGCTTTACGTGTCTGTAGATGACGAGGTGAAGGGCGCTTTAGCATGGAGTTTTGGTATCCGTTGCAGCGGCATTGCGGATCATATGTGCATGGGGGATCTGGGAAGCAAAAGATACGCTTCCTCATTAGTCGCTACATCAAGACGAATACCAGTAGAGAAGAAAAGAAAATCATGATGAAACCACATATGCAAAGCTTTCCACACAGAATCATGGACAGAAAGGATCCGTTGAGGGGGGCTTTTGGAGCGAAACAGGGGGCCATCAACCTCGTGAAACGCCTTTCCCCTCCATGTGGTGAAGACATCTCGCCTTCCTTTGAGCATCTCAAAGTCTCCGTCCCCTTTCCCTTGCTTTCCTCCGCCGCTGTGCGAATCCCTTCAATCCTCCGCCTGCATTGAGGTTTACGCCTGTTTCTCTGTATACCACCATCTGTGTCATCGCCCAAAAAATAGATTGATACCGGTCTTGAGAGTCATTCCGTTTCGTGAGGGGAAGTAGGTAGGTTTGTGTTTCATGCTTTGTCCAAAGATAAGGTTAAAGTCGTATTGAGAGGATACGGGTTGAGTCTAGTTGACAGAGCGGGCTGCCAGTGGGAGGTAATCCTCGCTGATCCGCTAAAGGGGGCCGGCTCATAGCAGAACCGAAGCGGGTGTGGTCAAGGGCATCACGAGATTCGTGGGTCAATTCTCAGTCTGGGCAGAACAATGGTCTAGGTTCAGTTGCTAGAAACGCCGGAGGCGCTCTGCTGGGCCAAGTTCTGCTTGAAAACCTCGGGGTCTCTAACCGGGTTGAAGTACGGGTGCGCCTGGGCTTCCTTTGCCGTCAAACGTTCCTATGGACATGTCAGCTTTTGCTGGCCGTGTGACGGTCGCGAAACATACCTGGTGGTCGTATCTCAAAAGCTTGTCCAAGAAGTCGATTGCTTCGTTAGAGACAAATCGCTGGTTCTCGGCGGTAACGAATGAGTGCCACGGCTTCTTCTGGAACCTACCCAGAATGTCGTCGTATTGCGCGTCAAGCTCGATCTCGTACTTGTCAAGGTAGTCAAATAGATCATCCGTGCCAAGCACCTTGGCGATCTTGACAAGCTGATCCGAATTGCTGTTACCGTGGAAGAATGGCTCCTTACGGAAGATCATGGACGCAAACATAGCGCCCAGACTCCACATGTCGAGACTGTAGTCGTACTCTTGGAAGTCGACCAACAGCTCAGGGCCCTTGAAGTATCGAGAGGCAACGCGAACGTTGTATTCTGTGCCTTGGTGATAGAACTCGGCCAGACCCCAATCGATGAGCCGCAACTGCATCACGGTTAGTCTGTATCCCCAGCCTCAACTTTCTGCGCAGAATCCACGTGCCTTCCTATTCTCGTGATCGATCATAACGTTGTGAGGCTTGACGTCGCGGTGCATGATGCCCTTGCTGTGGCAGAAGTCCAAAGCCTTCAGAAGCTCGTTGATGTAGTACCGAACGTCAAGGTCGTTAAACTTGGGGTACAGGCTTCGGAAATCGGTGTTGTTGACGTGCTCGAAGATCAGAGAGGGCGTCTTGCTCTGCAAGGAGAAAAAGGTCAGCCATTGCTTCCCGAACACCCGTCATCCGAATAGCATCAACAAAAGTCCCAGCTTACCTGCGAATCTCTGACCACGTCTAACAGCGCGACAACATTGGGGCCTCCAGCCAAGTTTTGCAGAATCTTGATCTCACGCTTGATCTTCTTCTTCTTAACGGGCTTGAGGACCTTGATGACGCATTTCTGGTAGTTGACGACGTTGATGCCCTCAAAGACCTCCGAGTATTTTCCACGACCTGTATTGTTGCAACCGTTCGTCAGCCTCGCACGATATTGCCTCGAACTCGACTCGCGCGAAAAAAGTATGCGGGATTGCGCATGCGCGCAGGCGCGCGGGGACCACCACCCCCAACAGAGTGCAAAAAACGTACCAATTTTCCTAACCACCTCGTAGTTCTCGAGCACGCCCCAGCCTGTAGGTCGACGTTGTCAGCGATCGCGACCCGGATGGGAGGGAAACCGGGCGGCTGTAAGCTCTGGCGAGAGCTGCAAGGGACTCGGCCGAGGCGCAGTGCTACCCGGCGAAGGGAAAACCTACTGATGTTCACACTGTCGTAGTCCCAGTAACTGCGGGGCATGTTCTGGTTCACGTCTGCGTACACCCGCGCCATGTTGGGCTACCGTTGCGGCGTTCGCGCGCGGGACTGGTAGAAGATGGTGATGATGTTGTCGTAAGGTAGGTAGGTTGGATTTTGCGGCGGAGGCGGGCAGACAAGGAGGGGTCTGGGTCGTGGCTGAGGTTGGTCGGTCGCCAGACACAAGCGTGGTGGACGTGGACCTGGGACTCTGGGAGTGAGTGGTGCAGTGTGGGAGGGAATGGGGCAGGGAGTAAATCAAGGTGGGATGTCTAAAATCAGGCTTAGCGGTCCATCCTCAGAGCACCGCCTGATTGGCCACCGACCGAGCCGGGCCCCTAACGCGCCTGACAGTCCACTGCAGGCTTATCGTCCAGACCGCCCGATAAGCTCGCCTGATCCGTGCACACCCCACCGTCCAATCTCGATGCAGCGAGCTGCCGCTGTTCCAGTGCTGCTGCTGCTGCTGCTGCTGCTTCTAGTAGAATGCCATCCCGAGGCTGCATCGATTTCCAGACGCAGTTGTCTGGGTGAGACTGTGTCAGGCACATCTTCGAGAACAAAGGACTTTGTTGCCACGGGAGCTCCATACCATATGTCCTTGGCCGCTGCAGAAGATGAGCATCACAAAAGAACAGGCAAACGCGTCACATTGCATGCATTCGAGAAACATATGTCAAATCCCTTGGTCAGATCCATTCGTTTTGGGGCAGGTAGGCAGCCCTTTTGCCCGGCTCCTGATATTCTATGTGGATGCATCTCGCATCTCGCGTCATGTGTACATGCCCACTGTTCAACCCCTGATACAATCCATTTCACAAAGTCTTCCCTTGTATCCTCTGTACAATGATGCATGAGTCCTCACGTCAATGACGACCATGTCCTGGCAATTTTGCCTCGCAATCTGTCCCAGGCAGTCAGCATCTGATATCAAGAGACCATGGACAAGATTCCGGAAAACTTCAACGCATGCTCAGAGAGAAGATTATTGCTCGACATGTCCTAGCTCTCGAAGGCTCAGGCTGTCAACTAAAGTCAACTGCCGTCGTCTACCCGGAGCTTGGGTTCCGACTAAGGATGACGATACGAAGTTTTCATCATTGCATGCGTGATCAAACGTGAAGAAAGTGCAGCGACATACCTCTTTTGCATCTGCTCCAGATGTAGAACGATTGGACTCACGTCGTGTTCATGAGTTTCTTGCATGTAATCAAGCCCGTGATTGATGGTTTCAGCTGCTCTGAACGTCGGGTTTCGAGTCGAACTTGCAGTGCTGCAGGCGTGCCCGGAATGAATATCGGCGTGCATCAGAGGTCCATGAGCGTGTGTGCGGCCCACGTTTCTTCCCAGCAACAGCCAGATCCTTAGTGCTATTTGGAATTATTTTGCGATGTTGCCGAGCTGGTCTCAGTCGTAGTCAAGAGAGTCGAGACCGGCTTCGACAACGTCCCAAGTTCTTTTTCGTAGGTCGGGCTTGGGTTCGTGGTTCTTGTTCTTGCCTGCTTTTCGCTTCTTCTTGTTCTTTGGTTTGGGTGGTTGAGCTGTCGCGGCTTCCTTGGCGCTGTCATTGTCGCCGACCTCGCCAGCTTCAAGATCTGCTTGCGAGGCTGCAGAACGACGCTCTTCGGTCTTTTCCTTCTCTTTTCTTAGAGCTTCAATTTCAGAGTGGCGGAACATGGCAATTTGCTCATCGGTGAGCGTGCGCTTGACGCCATCCGGGTAGTACCCAAGTCCGTCATCTTCTTCGTAGTACTCTTCGTCGTCGTAGGCAGCGTTTTCATCGCCTGCATGCTTCTCTGGGCTGAAAAAGTCGCTTTTGAACCCTTGCAAAGCTGCGTCAGAGAAGTGCGACTCAAAGAACGACGTCAGCTCGTCCTGGCAAATGTCAGTATGAAGAACGGGGCAGGTTGGCGCGTTTGAACTCACGTTGCTGATATTTGGAACGGCGAAATGGGCACGGCCTTGACCCGATCCGACCGCGGTCATGACGAGCGACTAGAATGATGCGGCGGTGAGACTTCTGGTCGTTTATGGTTTTGTTGAAAGTAAGAAAAGAAAAGAAATTGAAAGGTGACGGAATGAGGCCAAAGACATGTAGTGGGCCAGGCGCGTCCACGAGCTTGGATCACGTGTGGAGACCTTACCTCGTCACGCTGGAAGCAACAAGGAGTGGACGCGACCAAATGCATCTGCTGCCAAAAGCCATGCAATTCTCTGCATAAGTGTAGGACCTCTTGGACGTCTCGCTCCGTCACCTAGGACCCCATCTCCCCGGCCAAATCTTAGTTCCGGCTCAGCAGGGCAAGTGCACTCTGAAATGCCCGCAGAACCTCCCTCACTGACACGGTGTGAGTCGGACGCGTTGAGTGGGAAGATGCAAGGATGGGGACTTACTGTGCTCCTGCTTCTGGGCCATATTCTGCTCTTGCATGTTGACGTATCTCTGTCTTGTATGTAGGCGCTTGACTGCACGCTCATTGTCATGGGCGCTGGAAGTTGAAGCCCAGATATTGAAGTACTAGATGCATGGTCAGTTGGGCTCTGGAATGGTTTGTGCGGGCAGTCGCACCTTGACAAGGCCCTCAAACTGCTCCATCAGCTCTCGCTCTTTCTCATCAGCGTCCGCGAGCGCCTTCTCGTACCGGGCCTCAAATTCTTCCCAGTCGAAATCAGGAAAAGGACCGGGCGTGCCTGGCGAGATGTTGTCGTGGCCGTTGGTTGCCGGTTGGTCGACCCGCGGCTCAGGCGTCTTGGTGCTCTGAAGAGACTTGGGTCTCTGTGATCCGTTCGCGTCCTCGGCCATCTTCTTTGATGTTTCGTGTTAAACGATAGTATTGTGAGGCCGAGCCCGAATAAAGTTTTCTGTTTTTTCTCCTTTCAAAACATCGTTCTTGGTCACCACAAATGGAGTGTTGGTGGTGTAGTAGTAGTGTTCGCTGTTGGGCTCAGTGGAGAAAGTCGGAAGTTCAGAACTTACAGCGACACTGGACCGACCGCTTCACTACCTTAGGTGGAAGGCGGTCGAGAGTGGTACTTGCCTCACTCCATTGCTGCGCTGCGACCGCCAAGGCCTGTTCAGGCAAGTGTGGCGTTGATTGGCCACAGCACCTCTGTGGCGCGCCGCAGGGATTCAAATGGGTTGGGGGACCCCCCTGCTGCCTGCCCGGAGTGCCGCCGCGACCACGGCCCTCGATTGTTTCCTTTCTTGGCTGGCTTCCTTTCAACGCCGCCTCTCACCCGACCTCGCCCTCGTGACTCGATATCTTCGAACAGGACCTGCCCAGTCAGATCGCCTGAACACTGCCGCCGACTCACTGCGACTTCGATCTGGGAACTGCGTATTTCACATCGCATTCTCCCTCCGAACGTCCTGGACTCAACTCAACCTCATCCGCCAGAAAGTCAAATTCCCCACGTCATTGCCGTTGCGACTTTCTGCCCATGCCGCTCCCTGATCGTTTTGAAACTCGCCGTCTCCTCGCGTCACTTCGAACTTTGACTCGCCGCATGCCGCCAAGATGAACTGCGACATTTGCCAAAGACCGCATCATCCCCAGCAGCGGCCCTTTCTCTGCGCTGTCGATGCGCGCAACCGCTGCTATGAAGGCCGTATGAGGAATCTCCAGGCGTTGATGGAGAACGAGTCTCTCCAGCAGCAGATCAACGACTTGCTGGCCCAGAGTGGCCCGGCTAACTCTTCAACCTCCGCCGTCGCTATTGAAGCCTCAGTCTCCGACCAGAAGAAAGCCGAGGACAGGACCGCTCAGATCATCGCGCAAGCCGACAAGCTAAAGCGGGAAATCGCCGCTGCCAAGAAAGAAATCGCTGACCGGAAAGCTGCTTTGTCGCGCCGCAAGTCAGATCTGACATCTGCCTCTGATGGGACTGAGGCCCGGAGATCCAGACAGTTGGATGAGACTGAGCGCTCGATCTCGGTAACCAAGTACAAATGGAACCGCAGCGCCGATAACATGGCGACTACTCGAGCCTTTCTGTGCATGGAGGCTGCCAAGTTATATGGACTTCGCCGAATCAAGAAAGGGTCCTCAGCTCGATATGAGTATAAGATTGGTGGGGTTGATATCATAGATCTTTCATCTATGAATGGTAAGTTGCTTCAACTGGATACATGCTGTGAGTTTCTTACTGACCCTGCCAGCCGTGTCTCCCGAGACATTGTCCACATCACTTGCCAACCTGGCCCATATCGTCGTACTGACGTCCCATTATCTCTCGATCCGCCTGCCCGCAGAGATCACTCTTCCGCATCGGGACTATCCTCGTCCCACGATCTTCAACCTCGCTTCCTCCTATCAGCACGGCGATGTCCCATTCCCTGGTTCCTCTGTCATCCCCAACCTAACCTCAGATGATCGAGACAGCCAGCCTCATTATGTCCCGCGACCTCGGCCACTTTATGTCGATAAGGCCCTTCCCACTCTCGCAAAAGAAGACTCTGTCACGCATTCGCTCTTCCTCGAGGGCGTCACCCTGCTTGCATACGACATCGCCTGGGCCTGCTCCACACAGGGTGTCTCTGTCGGTGATCGCAACTCGTTCGACGACGTCTGCCACATGGGTCGCAACTTGTACAATCTGCTCATCGGCCAACAGCTGCATAGTACTCAGACAGGCCGCATCTACCCCCCGGTGTCTTCGTCGCCCGCAACAAAGCACGACAATCCAGAGCAAGAAGAAATCGGAAAGGCGTCGTCTTGGATGGGACGCTATTCCCATGGCACAACTCACACGTTCCTCGGAGGCGCGGAGGGTTCCGATTTCGTCCGCAGCTTCAAGCTCCCCAGCCCCTTGAAGCTTGCCGATAAGCTGAAGAAGAAGCTTCTGAGCGAGGTGGCCGTGCCGGAATGGGAGGTTTTGGAGGACGATGCCTGGGCCCTGGACGATGCCGAAAGTGCGCAGAATCGGACAGGTGGTGGAACAAATGGATGGACGAAGCTAAAGAACAGGTAATCTAACAAAGAAATGAAACATCCATATTCAAACAACAAGCTTTGCTGGTGGCCAGATTCTCCTTCCAATGACTCTCCCCACTCTTCGTAGCCTTGTTTTTTTGTTTCTCGTTTTGTTTGATTTTCGTGTGTTTTCGTGTGTTTTCGCGGTTTTTTTTTTCTTTCATCTCTTTTCTTCGTGTTCCCATCGTCTCTCCCCATCCTCTTCATCTTGAGTAGAGCGTATTGACTCATTGCCGTTGAGACCGCCTTTCTTCCTCCACCATCCTCATCCATTCCCTCCATCTCATCTGCGTACACGATACCCTGTTGGACAAGTCCTTCAAGGAGGTACCTCATCCAACGCCCCAGAAGATCGTTCACCTGTTGTCTGGTGAGGAAAGTCTTCTGATCTTCCGGGGCGCCGGGCAGGTCCTGCCACCTCTCCTTAGACAAGAGCTTGAGTCGTCTCTCTCCCCAACTCCTGAACTTCCTAGCGGCCCCAGTATCCTGATTCTGACGCCTTAGAGTGTCGATCAGTAGGCGGAGGACAGCCAGGCGCTCTTCTCTGGTTGCGTGCCCTCCGTACGTGAAGACGCTCTCGGACTGGTTCTGTTCGGCCCTCTCGACGACCCGAACAATTCGGTCCCGGTGGCCGTCTTCGCCACCGGCCGCTTCTTGGCTTTCAGACGCCTCAATCTCCTGCTCCAACTCGCGCCTGGCCGTGTACACACTCTGTTGATGGTTTGCGATGTCCTCTTCGGACCTGTTTGCTCTGTTGCTCCTGGGAAGAGGCAGAATCTGCCGGTGCTTCGCGAACCAGATCGGCGTGGGGGCATCACCAGTCTGTACGGCTTCCTCTTGGGTCCTCTTCTCCTTTGCCTGGGCTCTGTTGCTTGAGCAGCGAGTTGCCTGTGACGGCTGCTGGGGGGTCGAGGCCGGTGCGGGCATTGGGTCAGAGATAGAGAAGATCGAGATGCGCGGTGCGTCCTGGGAAGCCTCTTTTGGGTCTGCCGCCGAGCCGTTACGCTTGGGTGCGAGAACCTTGACTGACGTTGGGGTCTTGGGGTCTTCGGGGGGTCTCGCGGCAGGGGAGTGGATTACCCGTCCGTCTGGTCCCAATTTGGCGCAGCCCGTATCCTTGGACTTCTGAGTCTGAGACGACGGCTTTGTTGTTCGCAAGGGGCGTAGGGGGTCTGGGCGTGGGCCTTTGCGAATAATTCTTCGAGGCGAGACCGATGATGGACCGCCAACCGCTGATTGTGGATTGGGGGTCGGGGTCACGGGCGTAGCTGGTGAATGTTGTGATGCAGAAGGTTGAAGCGGCAATGTCAGCGTGTACGAATGCTGCTGAGTTGCCCGTGGTCTTGTTGAGGCTTCCGTTGTCGTTCCCGTACGTGTTTTCTCATGTTGCTCGGTAGTCTCCTCGCTAACGCGGTCAGCGGGCTCTGCCACTGACTCTGTTCCCGTCGGAGTTTGCGTCTGGTTGTTCTGCTCGTGGACAGGAGCGATGGGGGGCGAGGGAAGAGCAGACCTGCGAGGAGATGGCGGAGGGGGGGAGTAAATGTCGTCCAACAGGTCCGGGGATGGCGACCTGGGAGGGGTTGAAGGAGGGAGGGAGTAGAGGTCATCCAAGGGGTCTGGAGATGGCACCCTGAGAGGCATCGGTGGAGGATGGGCATAAAACTCGTCTGGAATTGTCGGTGACAAAATCAACGGCGGTGAAGAAGGGCCGGCTTCAACCAAGGTTTCATCAAAGATCTCATCGATTGGACCGAATTCGCCTGGAGTGGCCGGCAACTCGGGACGAAGATCCTCTAGAATGTCCATCTCTACTTCACGGTCGATGGCGACTTGCGTCGCGGGCTGGCGAGGTGTGTAAGTGAAGAATGGATCATTCTGCATGTCCGTATCCACGATCTCGACGGCAGGAGTGACGCTAGAGAAGTTGTCGTGCATATCGCGGTCGGTGTATTGATGCATATTGAAGTCTTGGGCTGATCCGATGTCATCGGCTATCTCCAGGTCGTCTCTCGTTGTGGTACCGAATCGTGTAACGCCTTCCATCATGTTTCTTGCATCTTGATTCGTCTCAACCTCAATAACTTCCATGGCGTCTCCGTGGACATTGTTGATTCCAACAATAGCGACAGGAGGTGCTTGCTGAATGACACCGTCCATAGATCCGTCGTGAGTTTCGGCGACTCTTCTCTTTCGACTGCCACGGTGGGCTCACCAACAACGCCGTCCATCAAATAGCCATTGTCTTTCTCAGATCCCTCGGTCTTGTCGCTAGGCTGGGTTTCGACAACCTCCATCGCCTCATTGTCGTCAACCTGTGCGTTCGGGGCAGTTGTATCTGAAGAGCCAGGCGCATTTCCGAACGTAGGAAGCTGTGCAGTAACAAGGGCAGACGCAACTGTAGCACTTGAAGAGATAGACGGCAAGGTTGAGGATTCCGTAGGGATTGGACGAGAGGCAGGTCCATGGCCGGATCTCTGTGGCTCCTCGGGGTCACTCAGTCTGCGCTTGTGTGTGGCAGGCGATTTGAGTGCTAGAGTAGGGAGAGCGGGAACAGGCAACTCGGTTGAGGGAGTATGGACTTGTTCCAAGACATTGGTGTCAGGAGTCGTGGGCTGTTCTGGAGGCGCGGGTATGGAAGATGCAGACAGGGAATGATCGGGGAGCATCAAGACTGCCCCGCCGCCGCCCAGATCGTGGTGATCGTCCTTGTCGTCGTCGTCACCGTCGTCGTCCTTCTTTGCGTCTTGGTCTCGCTCATCCTCGCCGTCGGTCTTGTTCTCGTCCTCGTGCTCTTGCTCTTTCTCAACCTCATTCTTCTCGTCAGACTTCGTGACCTGATTCTCTTCTTTCTCGGTCTCGCCCTCGTCTTGCGCCTCCTCATGAACGTTGTCATTCAATTCGTCCTTGCGAGCACTATCTTCGTCGATAGACACCATACCTGAAGCAGGAATCGCGGGCTCAATGGTGGCAATGGGTGCGTTGTCGGTGACGGGGAGAACTCTAGCAGGAGAAGGAATGGCAACGACATTGGTCGGGGCGTTATCGGTGACGGTGAAGACGTTGGTAAGAGATAGCCGAGGAGCGACGTTGACGGGAGCATCATCCGTGACAGTAAGGTTTCCGGTGCGGGAAAGAACGGGAGTTGCGATGATGGGGGCGGTGTCAGCGACGATCAAGATGCTGCTATACGAGAGTACAGGAGTGATGTTGACCGGGGCGTTGTCGGAGACAATAGGAGGAGCGATGGCGGGCGTGGTGTTGGCAACGGTGAGGATTTTGCTCAGCGACAATTGCTTCTCTGTGGCCTCGCTGGGAGGTTGGAGGATCTTCCCTTCGCTCACGTGGTATATGCCATATTGGCGGCTCTTTGGGATGATTTTGTAGTTATGAGGGCGGAGGAGTCGGGGCTGAGGGACATTTGCAACCTTCGTCTGAAATGATGCGATCAACCTTGCGGTCTTCTCGCACTTCCGAAGCTTCTCCTTCAGACTGGCGACCTCCTCAGTGAGGCGGGCATTCTCGGTCGAATGCTGCTCAGTCTGTGCTTCCTTCAAGTTGGCTCTCTCCTTTAGCTTGGTAATCTCCTCGATGAGGGCGGCATTCTCGACAGAGTGCTGCTGAAGCTGAGCATCAGCATCAGTAACCTCCTTGACGAGGCGCGCGTCTTCCGTCGCTAGGTCTTTGGGTTGGTCCACCTCTGGAGGCGGTGGACCGGGGGGCCTGACAGCTGGATTAGCAATCTGCAATATACTTGAGAGTAGAAGGAGAGGAGGCTCACATAACTGGGCCCTCGTTCGTCGAGCTCCCTTGCTAGGGGAGTCCGTCGAAGAGGGTGCCAGGCCGGGGTCCAGAAGTCCTGGGCTTTGCGAATTGGCACTGGGCCGAATCCGTTGGCGTCTCATAACCAAAAGAGATCAACATCCGCCAGAATAGAGTCATGTAGGCAATGATAAGCTTCATGGGCCAGGCGACAACGCTGGCGACGTCCACCAACATCCGACCAAGCAGTCCACCAGTCAACTGGTACCAGCATTCGGCGAATCTGGCAGAGTGCCAGACCCGAGAGATTGCCATGCCGGCCAGGTAGACCAGAACTGCGAGGAACGGATGATTGGCGGCCGCCTGGAGAACCAGGTTGGCCTTGTCGATGAAGATTTCAGTGACCATGATGGCGAGTAGAGTGTGGAATCTTTGGTTAGAGAAATATAAGTAAGGTAAAGTGGCGTCGTAAGACGAAAAGGGGGAGCTGTCGTTGATATTGAGATGGGTTCGTGCTAAAAAGCGATGAAAAGCTGCTAAAAAGCGACGAATGTGGGAAGGTATCTCGACTCAACGTTGGCGAAGAAGGGAAGAGGAAGAGGTTTTTTTCAAAAACCGAGTCGGGAGACGAGACTGAATAGACTGACCGGACGACGAGGGCAGGTCGGTCACGTGCCTGAGGCGGTAGAGTGGGGCGGGTGAGCTGAGGATTTCCTAATCGGGGTGAAGTGAAGTGAAGATGTCAACGCTCCAGCACCCTAAGGCACCAAACGCAGCAGTCCCTTCAGGGGACCTGAGCCCGTCGCACCCAATTCTCAAATTCGTTGCCCTAGTGACGTCAAAAATATTCTGGTGAAGCTTTCTTCAGGTTGGCGAAGGAATTAGGAGCGCACTAAAGGCAGCCCTTGGAAAAACGACGTTGCAGTCGTGATGTTCTCGGTGAGTGGGCCTCACCGAGCACCCCCCACCCACTTCGTCTGGCCGCGTTTGATTTCGTCCGTTTGCCAACCGTCTTTGATTCTAAACTGCGTTTGCTTCTAGAATTTTATCTCATTGTTCTCAATGAATTCTATGTTCAATTGAGTTGGTATCACAATATCTCAGTACTCGAGAACAGATACTTGTTATCCGTCACAATAAAATGGGACAAAGGCCGTCTGCTCAGTCGACATTGGCGATCTTCCGTTTACTTGTTGTTCTTGCGATTGTTGATTTCTGATTCCTATTTGGAATTGATCCCTTTCCCCTCCTGTTTTCTGCTTGCGACTGATACCCGTTTCAATCAATTCGTTGTGCTTACACCATAGTCAAAAGTAGAACCCAAATTTGGTTGACGATCACGCCTTCAAACAATTGACCAAAGATAATCTCATTTGGATAAAGTAATACGACAATAATAAAACCAAATGTACGTTATTCGACTGCACACAGGGTATCCTCACGGCGCCATTAAACCAAACCTGCCTCCCACCGACATAATCCCAGCAACAATAATCCACCATCATCACTCATTACAAGGTAGTACTAGTAATGCCTGCAGCCAAACGTGAACTTGCTACTCCTACTGCTTCTTCCCTCTCGCCAAAAGTCTCTCGTGAAGGTCCACGACCACATCGCTCCATGAAGGGGCGCCTTCCTCTTGAGAAAAGGCAGCCTCACCCAAATGGGTGGACAAGAACTCCGCAATCTTTGGGGTGTTGAAATGCTCCCCGTACACGACTGTCGCCTCAGGGTGAAGCGAGAAATCGACGCCGTCAGGCTTGCTCGCTCCCCTGATCTCGAGGGCAATCTCCACCTTGGTCTCCAGCGGCGCCATGAGAAGTGAAGACTTGACCGCGATAGACGAGTCAGAAACTCTCGCCACTGTGGTCGGGAAGGTGATGTTCAGCCGACGGACATGGTTGGAGGTGGAATTAGCCTTGTTCCACGCAGTGCGAACCATGTGGAGGAGATCCGCAATTTTAGTGCGGCTCTGCGGCAGGCCACGAATGTGGTCCCGAATGCATTCCAGGAAAAACTCCTTCTCCGGCGTTGACGGCACGGGTTTGGATGCGCGATTCGCGGCAATATACCACAGGTCGATCCTCGCGTTCTTCTTCCGGGGCTGGAAGGATGCAATGTCGAACACGATCTCAATCTCACGGAGGTATGTCATGGAGATTTGGCTGCCGGAAACGCCGGTGACGGCCCAACCGTGCTGTTTCTCCAGGGCATCGACTCGGCCTGGGTTCAAGTTAGCTAAGCAAAAGATACGAGATCCACGTTTCACATACCCTTGAGTGCACTGATTTCACCTGTCGACCAGCCTCGGCACTCCTCGCGAATCTTCTCCGCTTCCTTGATGTCCTCGTGGCACTGCTGCTTCTCCTGCGTGAGGGCCTCAACACCACGCTCGGCATCCTCGAGTTCTTGTCGGAGCTCGGCAATGAGTTGAGTCTTTTCCTGAACGTCGCTTTCGACCTCGGCGAGATCAGCCCTGGCGGTCTCGAGTTCCTCTGGGTCGCAGTCCGCCAGTTCATTGGCGACGGCCTGCAGGTTGCTGTACTCTTGCTCAAGTTCGGTGAAACGAGAAACGATCGCAGGAAGGGTAGAGGCGAGCAGCTTTTGTTGCTGCTGGAGAACCTTCTCATCGGTTTTCATGCCCTCGGCAATCCTGATAAGCCCCTCCTTCAGACCCTCCTGGAGCTTCATTCGCCACTCGTACCACATGGCCTTGCTCTCAAGACGGGCATGGGTCTTGCCGTTCTTGAACTGGTTGTCGAGGATATTCTTGAAGTCGGGAGAGGCGGACATATACTCCCGGAAGAGAGGCGGATTCTCCTCAAAGGTCTCGGACTCAATCTCTCGAACGATTCTGCGTCCCTCGGAAATGTACTTCTTCAGTTCGCGGCAAGAGTGTTGGTAAAGTTCCAGCATGGGCACCGTGCAAGCGCCGGCGACCACACAACGCTCCAAAGACAAATCCTCTTTCCCACCCATTTCTCTAAACATGTCTGGTGCCTGAGTATGCCTCCGCTTTGTCGTCGTCAACTCCATGAAGCGGATGGAAGTCATGTTGAGGAAGTCCTGAAGATGAATGCGCTCCTCAGACTCGTCGTTCATGAGCTCATTGTCGGGTCGGACAGGCGAGCCATCGAGGTTCATGGGGTGAGTGGCGGTATCATCCTCAACATCTCTGAAGCGTCCTTGTCCGTGAGGAGACTTGGCCGTGCTCCCACTCTTCAATGGCGACTCGGAATGTGTCGGGGTTACCTTAGTTGTCGTGTCTTCCTCCAAGAAGCGTTGGGAAGAACGAGTCAATCTGCGACCAGTAGTCTCGGCCTTGCTAGGGGGCTGGGCCAACTTGACGTTTTTCACAGGACTTCCTTGGTGTCCCTTGAGTCTCTTGACGCCGTCGTTGTCTTCGCGCTCCTCCTCGTCGTCAAGCTCGGCAGGACGCTTGCCAAGCAGGCCCTTGGCGCTTCCAACGTGGAGACTCTTGCGACCCTGGAGGCGCTTCTTCTTCGGGCTCAAGCTGTCAATCATTTCTCTAAGGTTGAGCGTTGCGTCCTTCTCATTTTCGCCATCCGCCTCGCGCTCGAGGATTGTACGGCCGTTCTCTTTGTCTTCTTCATCTTGGCGGTCTCTGTCGACTTCAATCTCAATGACCTTTGGATCCCCAAAGGTAACTCCGCGGGTCTTTCCAGGTACGAACTGCTGGGCGGCTTCGCCAAGAGATCCTCGTCGGTCAAGAATAGCAGCAACGCGGGGTGATCCCAGCCCTGGCTTGTCTGCGCCGACACCAGAATGCCTGCGGGGTTGGGGAGTGAGAACAACAGTGGGCGTCCTTGCTCCAGTTGCTGGATCTTGCTGAAAGACGTTCAAACGGTTGGCAGTATTTTCAAGTGATGGTGTCGCGGGCTTTCTCGTTGGTGATTTTGAAGCAGACTTGGGGAGCGACTTGGTCGGTGACTTGGGCCGTCCTCGCTTCTTGGAAGACTGGGGTGTCTTGACTGGCGAGCTGTCCAACGGAGTCGTGGCCACTGGTGGTGGCGCTGCAGACTTCGGTGGGCTAGGTGTCCTGGTACTCCTCTCTGGGCTTTTGGAAGGACTTCTGGCTGGCGACTCGCCAAAGAGGCTCGCACGAGGCATGCTGTTGCGGAGGCTTCTGCCTTGGAACGGGTTGAAACCGGGGCTGTCTGCCGGGGGGTTCTTCTTGACGGACGCAGCAAGCTTCTTTGCAGGCGATGCTGGCTTCACGGACATGGTCTTGGAGGGCGTGTCGGGCTTGTCGACCTCCTCCTCCATGAGCTTCTTGGCGGCAATCCGGGCCTCTGGTGATTGAGGTCCTTCGATGATGCCTCCAACAGCGGTGGTCATGTCCATGCCCATCGTGGCGTCCTCTGCTTCAGCCGCCTCAGAAGTAGGCAGAATACCTCCAACAGCTGTGGTGATATCCATGTCCATGGTAGGCTCATCCTTCTCCGGAGAAGCGGTAGCAGCGCCAAGAATCTTCCCAACGCCAACGGTCATGTCCATGCCCCCTGTAGCGTCATCTTCTTCCATCGGCTTGTCTGGCGATGACATGATCCGGCCCAGTCCAACAGTCATGTCCATACCCAAGGTCTCATCACCATGAAGCGTCTTATCAGCCGCAGGGAGGATGCCACCCATGGCAACAGTCATGTCCATGTCCATTGTTGACTCGTCCATGACCGAGTTGTCGCGCGTAGTCATGGTCCTGCGACGCTTCTGGGAGGTGTCTCTCTTGGCCTGGGACGGCAGAAGACCGCCAATGGCAGTTGTAAACTCCATAGACATGTCCTCATCTTCACCCTCATCGAACAGGGTGTCGTTAGGATTCTGTTTTTGGATACCTCCAACGGCGGTAGTAAACTCCATGGTTTGGTCTTCCTGGCTCGGCTCGGCGGCTTGTTGGTTGACTCGAGAAAGAATACCGCCGATAGCACGTGTGACATCCATCGACATGTCCTCGTTGGGGTCAGAAGCACTCTGAGAGGTCTTATCTTTCATAATGCCACCAACTGCTGAGGTGATGTCCATGTCCATATCCATGTCATCGTCGTCTTCGTCTTCGGGAGGACTGTTGCGCGCAGGCGGGGGGGGGGCCTTCTCCTGGTCCTTGGCACCCTCATCCTGTGGCTTCTTCTTGATCCAGCCGAAGGAAGGAATGACTTCCTCCTCCTCTTCGTCATCATCGGAGCCAAGTCGTTGAGTTCCTGCTTGTCGCGCAGCCATCCTCAGAGCCTCATCCAGGGTGTCGTTCTCGTCATCCGATGCGACCGTACGACCAGACATGACTGATGCGCCAGTGACCTCATTGTCGTCGATGGTCATCATCGTGCCATCGTCATCCGAAGAATCGCTGTTGGAGTCCGAGTCCTCGACCTCTTCATCTCCATCCACCTCCTCTACCGCATCAGCAGGCTCAGAATCCGAGCTAAAACCGGATGCGGCCGTGTTCTCATCGTCGGTGAAGTCCATCAGATTTGCGGTGGAACTGCGCCTGCGCTTCTTCTGATGGAGCTCTCTCTGGTTATCTGGTGACTCGGGAACTATCTCGTCCACCTGCTCTTGCGGCGTGGACGCCCGATCAGATCCCTTTCCATTTGCGCTAGATGCACGTCGCGTCGAGTCTGTTGACGCTGTCGAGTCTTGGTTGAACTCAATCTCGTGGAATGTGTGAAGGGTCGCCTCGGCGGCAAATGATACTCTGCGGTTGGCAAGCGACTTGCGTCGCGCATCTCTGCGCTCTCGCTCCTCTCGTTCTCTAGATGCGGCCTGCTGCTCTTCCTCCGTGCGCAAGGCAATCTTAGAACCAGACGAGCTGCCGGTGGAGTTGCCGGTGGATGTGTTCGAGGGGGTGCTGGCCCGGGGCGGTCCCAGGTCGATAAGGTCTGCGTTGCGCTTGCGGTGTGGTGGGATCTCGGGCAGAAGCGGCATCGTGGGCTTCAAAATCGATCGCGGCGGGGGCCGTGACGGCACGGCGAGGGACTGCGAACGTTAGCCGGGCGTGCACAAGACCAAAACACGAGCATTCTCACTGCTCTGCGGTTGCCATTTGCATTTTTGAGGGCGTCCAGGCCGCCGGGGCCAATGCTCTTGCTTCGCGACTTCTTACGACTCTCTGCAAGTGTGGTGCCGACGTCGATGGTCGCATTCTCCTTGTCGGTTCCCTTCCTCGACGTCGTCGGTGCGCCGATGGACTTGCGCGTCCGCCGTGTGGAAGGCATGGTCGCGTCGCCGAATGAAGCCATCTTGAATATCGGTGTGGCGATTTGACTGTGAGGCTTCAAGTGGGAGGGCCAGACGTGCACATGTCACGTCTTAAAGAGCAACGCGATTGTTGGTGGCGTGAATGTCCAAGTTCCTCAAAGTCCCCTAACACACCCCAAGCACGGGTGGTGGGCTGCATGGGTCGGTGTTTACTTCTGACTGGGCCTCTCATTGGCTGCTAAGGAATGATGTCAACAGACCGCGTTCGGGGGCCTGTGGTTGCTGTGGTGTCGGCTGTCGCCGCCTCGGGACGTCGATTCTTCCTCTGCGCCCCACTCTTTGGCAGGTCACAGCTCGCCGTGGCTGGACAGCAGGCACCAGCCACACACCGCCCTCGCTTCCCGAAAAAAAAAGGGAAGGAGCCACACCCACAGCCCACAGTTGCAAGCCCTAATCAGTTTGCTCGTGCGTGCCAATCCAATCCGACTTTGAGTCTGACCAAAAAAATCGCAAGGTTCAGCACCTCGACTTCTAACCCAAACAGCACCCACCCGCCCAGTCGACCCGCGACCGCATCACGACGTCAAGATGGCTACCGAGTTGACCGTCCAGTCCGAGAGGGCTTTCCAGAAGCAGAAGGGTATCTTCCTCAACCAGAAGGTCAAGGCGAAGTCTGCTCGCCCTGGCAAGAGCGGCCGCAGATGGTACAAGGACGTCGGCCTGGGTTTCCGCACCCCCAAGACTGCCATTGAGGGCAGCTACATCGGTACGTTTGCGAGCACCGACTGCGAATGATGTGGTGGGAATGTTGGCGCACGCGACACGGCAAACGGAAATTTTCGACATGGGATTTCGCGACACTCGAGAACATCGAAAAAGATCATTTTGGCACTCGAGGGGAAGAGGAGGAATTCAGAATTGGAGACACCGACACCGACGCCGCGCGCTGGGATATACGAACATGCACACATGCAACATCACCAGAAACACGATTGCTAACGTTGGCGCGTCTTACAGACAAGAAGTGCCCCTTCACCGGCCAGGTCTCCATCCGTGGCCGTATCTTGACCGGCACTGTCGTTTCCACCAAGATGCACCGCACCCTCATCATCCGCCGCGAGTACCTCCACTTCATCCCCAAGTACGCCCGTTACGAGAAGCGCCACAAGAACCTCGCTGCCCACGTTTCCCCCGCTTTCCGTGTCGAGGAGGGTGACCAGGTCACCGTTGGCCAGTGCAGACCTCTGTCCAAGACTGTATGTTCCGACCTCCCCCCCACGATCTCTCGGACCATGAAATGGTATGGAACATGGTTGCTAACATGGACACCAGGTCCGCTTCAACGTCCTGCGTGTCCTTCCCCGCACCGGCAAGGCAGTCAAGAAGTTCTCCAAGTTCTAAATCGGCTCATTGGCATTTACGGCGTGACTGCGGTGTGGGTTATTCATTTCATACCGGATGGGAGGTCATCAGGGAAAACTGCATCCACAATGATTGTGTTATAGATGCAGAATCAAGACCAAAATGAATTCGATCAGCCAAACAGCTACGTGGTCGTGAACTAGAGGTTATGTTTCTCTGGGTGACCCGGGCACACGATGGGCTTGTGATTTTTGCGGGAACGGAAAACTACGATGTGCCTCAGGTCGAATGAACGAAAAATGATAAGGGATTGGAAGTACAGCTGTCTTGTCCGTGGCCTTTGTGACGTGATATTTGAGTTACCTATGACCGGCTTCTGGTCCACACGTCCTGATCCCCATTTACTCAACGTCAACAGCAGAAATCCTGATATTGGCAGAGGTATGAGACCAACAGCGGTATAAAATTAGGAGTAAACTAATTCACACCAAAACTTCCCAAACCAAAATAATCTCCGGATATTGTAACGTTGGCCTGGCTTTCACTTCAAGAAATTCCATGAGTTGATAAAACTGCTGCTACCTCGCAATCAGCTTCCAGCAGCGCCATGGCCGCAGCTCGACAAATAGAATGCGATACAATTAAGCTCACAATACAGTGCTTCGTACAGTGCGCAATCTTCAATTGACACAATCCATTCGTGTCTTTCTGAGCATCTGATTGGATCACCAAATCCCGCCTGGAAATTCTCGAAGAGCTTCAGTTTGCGACACCCCTCCTCCCCTCCGAAGCTTCCCAAGATACCCCTCCTCTTCCGCCCCCTCTCTCCTCGACATCTTCCTTATCTCAGAGGCCCTCATTCAAAATGGGCTGGTTCGACGGCTGGTTCGGCTCCAGCACCAGCACCTCGGACCCTCTCAAGTCCCTGGACCCCAAGCTCCGCGAATTCCTCGAGCGCGAATCCCCCGTCAAGATCCAGCAACAGATCCAAGAAGCGGAACAAGCAGCAGCCGCCGCGGCAACAAAAGCAGCAGCAGCAGCAGAAGCAGCAATCTCAGCAGCAACAACATCACAGACATCACATCAAAACGGTGCCGACACAACAGCAGACTCGAGACCAAAAGTGCCCAAGGAGAGCCTCTTCCAGGATGGACGGTACGCGCACCTGTGGAAGACGTACCGGCCGTACGCCGAGATCGAGGCCGAGAGCAAGACGGACCACGAGAAGCTTATGGACGTGCTGGACGGGTACAAGGAGCGCAAGCACAACATCGGCCGGGCGGCGTTGGAGAACTGCGCGCTGCAGCAGGAGGAGTGGGTGAACTGCATGAAGAGCGGCTCCTGGGAGGACAGGATGCAGATGTGCAGGCACCAGGTGCAGCGGTTCGAGAAGTGCTATACCATGCAGACGGTACGTTTACTTCCTACACTCCAATCATCGCGACGGCACCAGACAAATTACTCGGGTTATTCTAACACTCTGCTCTCGCACACAGAGATTCCTGAAAGCCCTGGGCTACCAATCTGTCTACAACCGCCCGGCGCAGGTCGAAGAAGACATCCAGATGCACGCCGACAAGCTCTACCAGCGCATGGTCGAGCAAGAAAAGGCCATCGAGGCGGCCAAGCAGGAAGGCCTGCCGGTGCCCAAGTTCGACCTCTCAATACCCGCCGCCGTCGAGGCGGCTCCTGCCATCCAGCCTCGGCCAGATCTCGAGAAATCGTGGAAGGAGAAGCTGGAGCAGCTGCCAGAAGAGGAGCGCGCGGTCGAAGAGGCGGCGCTGCGGGCGGATCTGCAGGCCAAGGCGGAGGTTGCCAAGAACGTGCAGAAGCTATGGGACGAGCAGGAGAAGGAGAAGCAGCAGCGCAAGGCGGAGGGCAAGGCGACTGTCATGGACCGCATCACCGGAGCTTTCGGAGGAAAATGAGGCTTGTCGAGACCGGTGCAGGACGTTACTTGTCTTGGGTCATGGAAGAAGCCGGCGTGTTTTGTAATTGTACAAAAGCGGTTGCCAACTCGGACCGTGATCCCGTCGCTCAGCCTCACGATGGATGTTGGCTATAGATTTCAAGTTGTACTACTAGAAGAGCATCTACAAATGCACAAAAGAAGCCCCTCTTGGAGGCTACGATCTCCCAATCTCACGAGTCCGCAAGTCTCTCGTTTCCATCTTTCGGTTACCCATCTTTTGGCGTTTGCGGCTGTCATCAGACCGAATATCTACCACGACTACACCGATCGTGATCGGCCCTGTGGCATTTCGTAATGTGACTTCATCAACCTCGCACACACCCGAGAACGAAACATGGCCAACAGGCGAGAACGCCCCGCTGTAATTCCCTCAGCAGGGACTGCGCCGCCAGGTTCCAACTCAACCCCCCAAAATCATCCCATCTCAACCGCTTCCCGCCCCAGAAAGCAGGGAAACTCAGAACCTCAATCCGAAGAAATGGAAGAGAAAAAAGCTCAGCGCCAGGGATTCAGCTCCCGGTCCGAAGTGTCACTGTATCACCACCACGTCACGGCAATTGCACACCTAGCAAGGGCGCACTGAGCAAGTAACTGCACGGGAAGGGGGTTGAATAAACCGCCTCTGTACGAATAAGGTAAGAGTTCGCGTTTCGCTCAACTTTAGAGCGCGCGGGTTTGCGGAACGCATCCTTTTCTCCCCGGTGTATTCGTCCAATTTGCAAGACCAACCAGCCAACCAGGGCCCGGAAGCCAGGGGAAGAACGGAAAAAGAGAAACACCTCGCTCTCACGAGCTGAAAGGTTGCAAATAAGCAGGGGATGAGACGAAATGAAGAAGAAGGGGAGGAAAAGGTCGCATGAAGAGGCGCGGCACGACGGAAGCGACAACAGAAACTCTAAACAGCTTTCTTTCCCGTAACTTGACGGGCGAGCAAGAGACCAAAAGTTTGACCGCACCGCCGGGGACCCGATGACGACGATTAAACGAAGAGCGGTCTGTCTTGTCTGGTCAGAGAATGATGCAGGAGATGACAGGGTGCTGCGACCGAGGAGTGACAAGCTAACCCAGGACGAGTTGATCAACCAGTTGCGGTTGGCCTCCCTACTACCAGCGGCTAGCACGATGCCTTGCCTCCCCCGAAAAGCCCAGAACTTCTGGGCACGTCAAGTGTTCTGCACCACTCAGCCCTCCCGGCGCCGAGAGGCCACTGCACGCCAAGCTTTGCGGGTAGATCTCTTGGCACACACTTGGCAGCCCAGGGACAGCCGCTTCGCTGGAATCTCGCTTCAGACCTAAGACATTTTGACCACAATCGACTTGTAAAAACAAGCTTGGCAACATAGGAAACTTTCGAATCTTTGGATATATGTTCAATTTTTTTAATGGTTATATTATTTAGCCCATAAATGATTCATACTCCGTTAGGGAGCATTCGCCAAACGCCACGGGGAGAGATCGAATGAGACAAGATGGTAAAACGGGGTAATCGAGTGTGTCTCAAGTCATTGCATCCTCCCCTCTCAATCGGTCATTGTCGTTGTATGAGGTCATGAACTCGTCTAGCAGCAAGACTCCTCGCAGCCGCAGAGACCGCAGCAGATCTCGCATCCGGCCTCCTCACCACCACGGAGGGACATCTCGGGCTGGGGCTCGGCGGACTGTTCATTGTCAGGTCAGCGTACGTTCTGTTGATGGCTGCTTAGATCTGGGACTTACGGGCTGCTGAGAGATGATGCCGTTCTCGGAGGGGACCTCCATGGGGGCCTGCTGCTGGGGAACCTCGGGGGCGGGCATTTTGACGATGGGGTTTTTGGGTTGAAGAGGTATAGAGTTGAGTGGAAGTTTATGCGTGGTACCAGGAGAGTGGTAGTTGTGTTAAGCAACAAGATGATGGAGCAGTCGAGAAGACAGTCTGGTCCCGCGTCTTTATGTACTCGACTCACACATCCTTCACAAGGCACACAGCACACACCAACAACAAGCCGACCTCTCTCCCCGTGCCATGTTCTCCATCAAAACCCCCCTTCCCCCTGGCTCCATGGCTCAGCTGAAGCAGGTAAAAGCTATCGGTGGCCGAGGGTTCCTAACACATTGCCTCCTGTCCTGCCTCATCCACGCCCCCCCTTCTTCTCCCCTCATCGCATCCCCTCCACCAACCACCCGCGGCAACTTGGTAAGGTCCTGCGGTAAGCCCCCTTCATCGGAAGTAAAACGGCAAACCAGGGAACATCACCGGCGCCAATCATCACCCGACATCCCAGAGCAAGAATCCAGTTTTCCCGTCGTTGCAGCCAGTCAGGGTTCAGGGTGGGAAGAGGGCGAAGGGGGCGTGTAAGGCGGCTTCGCCTTGTGTAGTGGGTTGGGGAGGGAACTTTGATGACGGACCCATGGGCCCGTCGAGCTTCAAGTGCCGTACTTCCGGATGAGAGTTAAGATAGCCAGAGCTGCGCTGGTAGGTGGGAGGGAAAGGTACATCACCCAGTCGTCGTGGGCCATGACACGAGACGACGCGCAGCTTGCTGCGGGCGGGAACAATACACTAACAGAGAAAAAGAGTAATAACGACAGCACACGCTGGAAGATGCCGGCGACCGCCACATGCGGAGAGTGGGGTCTGGGACCACGCTGCGAGAGAGCTGTTTTTCCCACCTTCTGCTCACCTTGCCTTGACCTTCCACTTCCCATGACACAACACACACACGGCCACCCCGACTCAGTTGTCAGGGAAATTGGGACGAAAAAAAATTAAAGGGCAACAGCCGAAAGGTGGAACTGCGCCTCGAATGAGGCTAGTGACGTCAAAAGAGAACCATGCAGAATGCGGCACATCCAGACAAAAATAGAGGGCATCTTTCAGAATTCGGAAGGTCGAGAGGGTCCAGAGCGAGCCTGCGACTCAGCCCTTGGCAGTTCAGTTGTTGCAAGTTGCAATTCGGCCAGCGCGAAAGAGCGGCGTTGCATTTCAATTTGTGCTCACGGTCTTTAATCTGGCTACTTTTCCCTCTTTTGGGGACGGGTTGCAAGCCACACGGGGTAAAATAAGGTTCGCACCACAGAGCGCTGTCAATCGCAATGAGCGCAAGCCGCAACATTCCTGGTCCTAAGTCTTTTGGTCGTCACTAATTGAGCGAGCCGAATGCCGACTGCCCTGGGTATCCCTGGCCAAAACCACCCGTCAACACAACCCCCAACACCAAAGCAATCGTACCTACATGAACACCCTCAAGCATCGTCAACATCGGACATGACGTGGGCTGAGGCCCGTTCCCACTGCCTCTTCCCCAGGTCTTCCCTATCTGCCCTCCAACGCCACCGCGGCGCGTTCTAGGAATGCATTGAAGTCTTTGATCTGCTTCAGCGTCCCCCCTGTGTCGCTCTGCGTACAGGCCTGGTCTGTAATCCTCGATATCAGAATCTCGAGGTTCGCCAATTCCGCCGTCTTCTTCTCGGCTGGGCCGAGCTCAGGCGCCGCACGACCTCGCTCTACCGCCAGGTCGATGTCATGCATCTGCGAAGATAAGCTCAATTGGTTCTGTGGGACGCCCGTTAGTCAACTGTAAGGCTGAGAGATAGCTTGCGCTTCGTGGAGGAGGGGTTGCTGACCAGAGCTTCCTCTTTGACCTTGTCGTGCTTAATTCTGACGGAATCCTTCCGGACAGCCACCTGGTCCCGTTCGGCACGGATGCGCATGATTTCGTCCCGAAGGGTGATTCTCTCCTTTTGGACACTGCGTACCCGCTTGCGCAAGTTGTGGAGTGTGTCGAGGAGAATGGTCTAGAACGGGTCAGCTGTGGCAACCACACCTTGGACATCATAACCCACGTGTTGGAGAAACCGGTTGCGCAACTCTTCCTGGTAAGCTTCCAGAGCTCGCATCTGCACCCTACGCTCTTTCTTTGTGGCTGCGTCTTCTGCATTGCGCATGCCCTCCTTAAGGGTCTCCAGACTCGTCCCGAGGACCTCCTCACACATGGTGGTCAACACATCCACAGTGTTTACTCCGCCACGGCTGGTGAAGGGGATATCGGAATTGAGAATGTCTGCGTCGTCATCCTCGCCTTCAGGTTGGGTCTTCTTCGTCGTAAACCGTTGTACTGGAATCGCAACAGTCTCGTCGCCTCCTGGCGCATCTGAATCTTTCTTCCTCCGTTTAGGGGCGGCTTTTGGCGGACTCTTGGTTTTCGAAGTTGCCTTTGGCCTTCCTTGTCTTTGTTTTGCCGGACTAGCGTGGGTCTGTTTCTTCCGCCTTTTGGGCAGGGGGTCTTCGTTATCCTCATCTACAAGAGTAGAGTCCTGCTCGGCAGACGGCCCTCTTGGGCTTCTGCGGGGCCGCTTGCGCCCCAGTCGTTGTGCCGCCTCGTTCGCGTCCACCTCTTCAGCCACACTCTCATCTGGATCCTGACTCGGCTCCTGTTCCTCTACTAGCGATTCCGGCTCGGGTTCAGGTTCTGGCTCCGAATGTACTTCAGTCTCCGGCTCAGGCTCGGGTTGCGGCTCTTCTGTCGGTTCATCGGAGTGTGCCACGGATTCTTCTGCTTGTGTTTCGTGCCGTGATGATAATTCAGGAGACAGAGTCCTTCCACCAGACTTCCCGGCACCATCAGGTGATAACTCGTCGGCATCTTCAGCCACAGATGCACCAGAGTTGCGGCTCCCGCGGCTGCTTGTCGACCTGCGCGTACCGATCGTGGTCCTTCGAACTTTGCTGACGAGAGGTGATGAAATGGGTACCGTCTCAGTTTCGTTATCTCCTGGAGATAAAGCATCCTGTAATCTAGCGCTCGAAGCCAAAGCACTGCTCGTGATCTTACGGCGTCGGCCGCTTCCTGGTGCATCGGCAGGACTCTCCTCGACTTCGGTATTGGCCGCTGCGGCTCTCCGGTTCACGGGCGAGATCGGTGGCGCGGGTATGACCGGCCTCGGGGGCGGCAAAGACTCGACAGTGTCCGGGTCTTCCTCCTCTATGATTGTAGTCGGACTTGTGTTTGGCAGCTCCGCTGCGGGCTGCGCAGATTCCATCGACGACCCCTCCTCCAATTCTTGGGTTTCTGGTTTGCCGGGTGACTGTCGCGCTTGACTGATACCGGCCGGTGCAGGCAGGAGAGATCGCGCGGCATCGGTGTCCAGTTTCCTTCGCTTCGCAGATGTGTTCGGAGTCGGCGTTGTTCGGGGTGGCGGCTGCTCCGGGCTCGTCTGGGTATCGATTTCGCTCGTGAGGTCGTCGCCGAAGTCCAATTGAAATGAGACATCCTCGACTTGGCCATGTCTTTTTATCGTCAGTTCCATCTCCCAGCAGCGATATCCAAGGCAAAACTCACCCCGCACCGCGCATGCGCTGTTGCATGCGTTCCGCTCGAGCTGTCTGATGTTAGCATCGTCGGCGGGGCGATTCACGTCGGTTCAAGGTCTTACTCGTCATGGTGGAGGATTGGGGCTGCGATTAAAGCGCTTGGGCGCAGATACAATGAATCGGAAGTAGAGTACTACTCATCAGAGACGAGCCCGACGTCAAGTCAGAGTTGTGATGTTTGAATTGAAAGCTTGAACCTCAAGCCAGAGCAACTCTACATGAGGCAGGTGGAGGGGCGCGTCGTGCACTTTGGCCAGGCGTGACGCGCGCCTCCCCTTGCGCTGAAGATCCCTGTCACCCTAGTGTGTGGTCCGTGCGTCGTCAACTTCATCTGATGTCCTGAAGAGCCTCCCACGATTTGACCTTGTGGGCCTTTCCAGAAGCATCATTGTTCCAACTCCAATTTCTCAGTCAATTTCTCTGTGTACAGCTGTAGGACTCGCACAGCAGTTTGTGCTATCTCAAAGAGCTCAAGGAGCTTAAGGAGCGTAATACTCCAACTTCAACTTGGGAATATTCTCCAACATGTCATCGATTCCCTCACGCAGCTCTTCCAGCTGGAGCATCAAGGGACACTTCGCGCGACCCATACACTTATGAGCCAACTCCTCTTCGATCATTGCATGTATCGCGCAAGAGAGCCCCTCCATGGTAACTTTATCAGTCATGTCGGCAACTTCCCACAGGCCGCGGCTCTGGAACAGTTCGATGTACTCGCTCACGAGATGCGGCTTGTATCTCCCGCTTCACCTCATCGCTGTCGCAGAGAGCTCGGTGCTCCTTGTCGTTCCGCTGCTGCTCGAGCCTGCGCCCGCAGGCCCTTCAGCAGAAAGCGCGTGCTCTGTATACCTGGTCGTCCTCCTGCAGGGGACCTTAGAGAGTTGTAATGTCGGAGTGGATGGCATGAACGTCAAACCTGATCTTGTCGGCCATGGTCTGCCGGATTCCGCTAGGCAGCCTCTTCATCCACGTGTCCTATTCCCACGACTCGACGTCGTTGATGGTCGAATTGCGTATGCCCTCGTCGCAAAGCTGCATGAACTCTTGGGACGCTTCGAGATCCACGCTGCCAATGATCGGGAAACCCTGCCCTGGCTAAGTTGTATAGGTGAAGCTTGAACCACGTAGAGATCCAAGGAGCAAGCGGACGTCTGAATCCGAGATCCTGACTGCATTGTGCGATCCCACAGAGTCTGTCGACACTGAGGTGCTAGCTGCCTTTGTCCGGGAAATGCGCAATTGACAGTAGGAAAGTAACGTCCTTTGGTTGCAGACCTAGCTGGGCGCAGTCGATTCCTCAGTCTCCTCGACGATCTTCCGAGTCGTGGCGAAACACAGCGGACGACTCCAGGGCATACTGGGGCAGATTCAGTGGTCCCCGAAGAGTCATTGATTACGTGAATAATCAAACCCTCCATAACCGCCAAATCTCCTTTCGTAGAAATGGTTCTGGAAGTAGTAGTATTTGAAAGTTGTAGTGGATTGCTGGTTGAAACTACAAGTAAAGATGGAGAGGGGCGGAGCAAGAATGCTTTTTTTATTGAGCATATAGCACAGTAATGGAAATCTGTTCGGTGTTGCAAAAGCATTTCGACCATGAATAGCCTCGACCGAAAACCGAACATCCATCCCTTCCCTGAAGAGAAGCTACGGCCCAACTCCAGGGCGCGTCTTGGGTTTAGTTATGGCGCTATCCGTAAGGCTTTACTTCGCTCGCAGAAATTCATGTACTACACGGTTAAGTTCTTGAAACGAGGCATTCATGAATCTGTCCATTAAACTGATTTTTCACTTACTCTATTCGCGGTTCTCTAGACAAATAGCTGGAATTTTACATTTGCTATTGATTTATTAAGAACCTAGAGGTTGTGAAAACAACCACAATGTTAACAAGGTGAATGATTACTAGTAGAGACAGTAGCAGTAGGATGACGACAATAATGCGCAGTAGAGAAAACAGAGGCCGTGCTGGATATCGACAACAGTCACGATATAGACAATAAATAGAGGTCATAGTGACGCCGCGAGACGACGAGGGACGACGAGGGACGACAAGAAAGGATTTATTGCTAGTAAAAATTCCAAGAAAGCAGAAAAACTCCAGACTCCCAATATAAGTTCCGGGATATAAATCCGTTCGATGCACAAATCAGCGCTCCCTTCCCTTTCCTGCCCTTACATGTCCTGGGCGTCGTCCCCCGTCTCCGCCGTCGTCTTCGCTGTCATCTCCAAGCCTGACTGGGCCCCCTCGATAACAGTCGTCGCCTCCGCCTCCAATAAGTCCATAATTCGTCTAAGTTCGCACCCTCTGCCGGCATCGCAGCTGTGAACGTCGGTCTTCTGCAGGTTTCGGAGGCGCGAACCAAGCTTTCTGATGGTGCAGTTCTCTATCGCTTCTTGCGGTGGCCAGAGAGAGTTATTATGGAGCATCTTGAGGAATTCCTTGACACGTTCACCAGAGTAACATCGCGTCTTCGATGGGCAATCGGCTCTGTTGCAGGATCCTGGTAGTTTTGTTCGAGTCTCGGTGGCGCATGTGTTGCATCGATTTATCATGCTCACTTGCTCGTTGAAGGTGAGGTCCGTAATCGCTGAATACAAGAACTTGGTAAGTGTCGCTTTGACCTTTCCCATACTGTTCTGGATGCGCGCTTTTGAGCTGTTAGGGTTATGTGTAAATATCTGGCTTGGGGGACGGTTGCTTACCTCTCAGGTCCTCGTCCAACTCAGAAATAATTGGATCAGCAGCCCAAGACCCGAAGTCGAAGGAGAAAGGGATGTTCATGACAGCAGCCACCAACGTTCTCGAGAACTCTTCTGGGTGCTCGAATCGTTGTAGAGCAACCAACAAGTACCCAATCTCGTCGGGGTCGGCCTTGTTGGACTTCGGCTGCCCAACGAGCCATTGTCCGATCTGGGCCTTGAGGGCCTCGACGCAGCGATACTGGTCAGCGCATATGGCGATGGTTGCGAGCTCTTCGGGAGTCACCATGTCCCACTGGCGCCGCATACGGTAGTGAAGAATGCTTAGCATTACCTCCATGGCATCTGGGTAGTGGTTCTCCTCCAAGTGTATGTCGGGGCGCTGGCCATTCTGGACTTTAATAGCCTCTGAGAAAGTAGGAACGACCAAGAGGCTTTCGAAGTATGGCGATGCGGCGCTGAGTACGTTCGAGCATACCCGGAATTTGCGAATAGTGTTGTCTTTGGTGACAACCAGAACGGCATCCCACTGGTTGTGGAGGTCAACTGTGGTTTCCTCGTACATGTTGGCACCTGGGTCACGGTGAGCATCCGACTCGTCGGCCATCTTGTTTGTTTGTGGGGTGTACTTAGGTAGGAAGGTTGTGGCACGGCTAGGCCAGAGGGGTGGGTTTATATAGACGGAAGGGCATTAGATAGATCACGGGAAGGAAGGCAGCGGGGGTGTTAATCCCATGAAAAGGAAGGCGACAGAGACGACGACAGAGACCACAGACGACAAGGACGACAGATCACAGAGACGGTAGAGACGATCACAACAGAGGTGGCAGTAAACATAACTAGAGGGGTGAGCGGACGAAGAACCAGAGAGGCGAGAGGGCGAAGAACCTGACAGGTGAGAGGACGACGGACGACAGAAACAACCACGGCAAGTACAGCAGAGACGACAACAAAAACAACTCTCATCCATGGTCACAATACCGACAAGTACAAATCTCTCGATCTGGCTACGTTCGTTCTATCTGCCAGATTCAGCTATCTGTTCGGTTTCAACGATGCAATCGCATAGTGAGTGTCTGACTGGTGCTTGGAGCTTTATGACAAATACTTCCAGAAGAACACGGACAATGGCGGTGAGAAGAACGACAACGGCATCAGCGACGACGACTAGACTGCGTTGCTCGAAATCGCCGAGCTGTTGGAGGTGGCCCATATCTTCGACTTTGATGACCAGGTTGTCAACACAAAGTTACGAAAGCTCGCGGCATTTAGGCTCCCTCAGTCATTCCTTCGGGTCTGGCCGAAGTTCAGTAGTGTAGGAAACCGATTTGCTGGTACAAAACTCTTGAGTTCCCTTTCTTCCTGCAATGGCCGTCCTGGATCACTGATCAATATGTTAGCGGATCTGCATGTTCAAGCCAGCGACGTGTTCGATAACCTAGTCGACATGCTCAGCGATGGCCCTCTACACGATAATCAACAGACATACAGCACAGCTCAACAAGTTTGTCTCAATTGCGGTGGACGACATCCCGCTGTAGCCAAATATTGCAACCTCTGTAGCAACTCTGGCGCCTTGTTGCCCGTCCTTTGCACTACTTCTTCTCGTGTTGGCGACTACTTCCCTGCTCTCCGCAAACACTCGCTTTGGCCTCCGGCAAAACTTCGAAACCTTTCGATATTAGTGGTAGCGAAGCGAGTCGAGAAGATGTACAGAGGCATATCGCACGCCTGCTGGGTTGAAACCAATTGCCCCCTACTTACGCATATGGCTTTTCTTTCCAAGAGTACGAAGTGGCGACTGAAGAAGCCGCTGGTCAAAGTCAACTAAGGGAAAGAGAAGCACCGGATTGTGCAGCAGATGGGAAGGCTGTAAGTAGGAGGCCCTGCTGTCTGCGCACATTGAAGCGAATGGCCTGCCAGGTGTGAACAGCAGAAGAGATTCGTGGTGATGGAAATACGCTATGTGCGTGTGTGTTTGTTTTGCTAGTCAGATTCCTGGGTATTCCCTAACGCCATACATGAAAAGTAGCGAGCTGTTTATCGAGACAATAATAACCGAACGCCCAAATATCTTCTCCGAAAATATGTGAATCATACTCCGCCGTGGTCCTTAGAGCTCTTCATTCGGAACCCACTCCATGTCGTTGTCAACGAACTTGTGGCTGTGGAAGTTGTCAGCGATATGCTCACCCGGTCTCGCCAGATTTAAAACTCACTTCTTGATCTCCTTGTTGATCAAAACATCCTCCCCGTACTCCGCTACCAGCATGCTTTTGTACTGATACGGAATTTTCGTCTTCACGCCCTCAAACGTCGTCTCGAGCAGCGGATACAGGTACGTATCCCTGAACTCGTGGCCGTCCTTGCTCGCCAGCACGTTCTCGCCCTCGGGGTGGTCCTTGACGTACCGCACGGCCATGATGTCGATGAACAGGCCGTTCTCCATGTCGATCCAGCGGGCGTCGATGGTGTTGGTGGCCTCGTCGTCGACGGCGCCGTGGACGTAGTTCGGGTTGACCTCGAGCTGGAACTCGCGGCCGCCGGGGACGCCGGGGTACTTGTAGTACCAGGTTGTCATGTTGTAGTAGGCGGCCAGGAAGCGGATGCCGTTCTCGGACAGCTGCACCGTGGGCTGGGCGTCCCAGGGCAGGACCTGCTTGTTCCACCACCAGCCCAGCAGCGCGTTGTGCGAGAGCCAGGTCTGCACGCCCAGGTCGCGGACGGTGGAGAGGTAGGTCTGGACCAAGACCTTGACGGCGGCGCGCTGGGCCGTCTCGTTGAGCGGCGCAGAGGCGAAGCGCGGGTCGTAGTGCTCTGAGAAGCTGTGATCGAGGTTAGTTATGGGCGTCATTTTTTCCACCGGGCGGTAGTCACTTACTCGGCTTCGTGGAAATGCTTGGCGGGCTGATCCGGAGACGCGGAGCGTGGTGTGGCAGCCGTTGCCTTTGAGATCTGGTCCTGGATCGGGGTGGCTTGGACCAGTGCGGCGCCGAGGCCGATCGTCGTAAAGAGGCGTCCCAAATGCATTTTCACCGACCGTCTCGACTATTCTTTTCGTTCCCTTTCCTAAACTCAAATCCTCCAGATACCTAGAATTATTCTTCGAGAAGAAAAATTCGCAGGATAAGCGCCCCTTTTTCGTCGGAACTCGCTGGCTTGTTTTATGTCCTCGAGGCGCGGGCAGGGCCCAACGTCATCGGCTGTCGTAAGAAAGAAACACGGCAAATTCGCCCCCCAGTTTCCTGCGGCACGGAAGCTCGGGAGTGAGATTGGTATCTTCTTGTTCACCAACACACAAAGAAAAATTGGTGTAATAGAAAAAAGCAGATGTGTTGGATCTACAGCTGAACAAGAACAGTACAGTACAAAAGAACCAAAAACGGATGCCTTGATGCCAGTGAGGGGGGCGCATCGAGGTATCTATATCCCCTCCCAACCAACCCAACGCCATCCACCCTCATAGCCGCTGATGTGCGTGTGCGCCGCACTAGCTGGTACCAACAAGCCCCCGAAGGAACCGATGCGTCTTCCCGGGTCAGAGAGGGGAGGGGGGCCAACGGGGCGGCGGCGTGTCAGGCCAGGGCCCCCGCGAACGAACGAGAAGGAAAACAAACGTGGAAATGATGCCAGGGCTGCGTAAGACGCCTTACCACCAGAGTCCATTAGCTCGCCCGCTTTCCCGGGGGAAACACACCTAATCGACCACGGTCCACTGCCTTGTCGAAAGTGGCATTGCTCTACCAAGGGAGGTGCTGGCTGGTGCTGCTGCTGCTGCGATCAACGAGTGAACAAGCTTAGGAGGCCGCGGGCAAGCTTTCTTTCCATTGAGTGACCATTGCCATTTTTGCGTTGCACGCGCCCCCCACAAACGGCCAGGACGGCAATTGCGACCAACAGCCAGCGGGCTTTTAGTGGGGCGGGATGTGCCGTCGTCCCCCCGCCTGGAACACTGGAATTGGCGTCGTCGTCGTTGTCGGCTGGGCCGCGTCATTATCCCGCGCTGCTAAGAGCATTTTAGCACTGCCGTCAGTCCCGCTTCCTGCTTTCTGTCTGCCCGTCCCCCGACCAGGGACCGCCCGCGATATGTTTAGTGCGGGAGGACGACCACCACCTTACATAGTAGATGCGGATATTTCCATTGCTTATTTTGGGGTGAGATTGACGGCTGTGGTGGGTTGGCCCGCCCACATCCCGATGCTGACGACTCTTCCGCCGTGGTTTTTGCTGTGAGCCTGTGGCTGCGTGCGGCGGTGTTGCCGTGCTAATTTGACGGTCTGAGGCTCCAGAGGGACGGTATTATGCTCGCTCCGGGTTCTCGGCCGGTGTGAGACGAAGTTCGGGCCATTCAAGGTTTGAATTCGGCCGTCTTCCGATGGGATGGTGTCGTGGTTTCCGGAGTCGGCAAGGGTGTGAGGATGCGAATCATCGGGGGGCCGATTGACGAGAACTCGAGCACATCGATGGAATCAAGGCCACATTCACACAAAACAGTGACGGCTTGCAGACAGTAGCAAGCTTCATCTCCATTTGATGTTGATGTCCTCTTGATCCTATGGTTAATTCACCTGCTCCGTCCATCCCAGCGTCTCTGCTCTAATCCACTCATCCAGGTCCAAAAACCGCAGCACAGGCCTCTCTGGCGATGCGCTGATCATCAGCAAAGGAAAGACGGTCACCGACTTCCTCCACATCCACCCAGCTAACCTCGAAATCTTCATCCTCCTGCTGCGTTCCCTCCTCCCGTGGAATGGTGGAGTCGGCGGCCGCGACGAACCAGAAGATGATCTTGAGAACTCCGTCTGAGACGCGCTGAGCAACGGCGATGGGCTCGGTGACAAGGGTCGGCCGGTTGTTGGGGGCTATTGAGGATGGGGTCGTAGCCCGCGTCGGTACGTTGACTGGCAGAAGACTCACTCTTACGCCAGTCTCCTCGTAGGTCTCCCGCTTGGCCGCGTCCTCTAGGGTTTCATTGAGGTCTTTACGACCCTTGGGCAGCAAGTGTTCGTCCGAGTTGCGGCAACGGATGACGAGAACTTTCTTTTTCTCGACATCAATGGTTGCAGTGCCGCAGCTAATGACGAATTCGGCGGCAGAGTCCAGACGTCTGTGGGTGGTGGCCATGTTGACGATGGTGCTATGATGTAGAGAGGTAGAGCGAGATGGTTATGTTGTCAAAGTATTGAACGAAAAAGAAATGGATAAAAAGAGAAGGACGGGACGTTGTGAGACTAGAGCTAGTTTTCCTGGGCTACGCATTACATACAGCAATATGCAAACCAAAAGTGACCAAATCGCCAGAAACAAACTTGATCAAAGACATTAATTCAGTAAAGTATTGCAACGTAATAGCCGAAGAAAAGCAATTCCCCTGGAAATATAGCGATTTCTTGTTTGAAGGTATTAACACGTTTTAGACAAACTTCTTGGGGCATTCGCTACAGAATCAGCTCTATCCTGCGACACTGATGGTCTTTTTTCTTTACTTTCGTAGAAACAAATGCTTCACCCCGAGCCCATCCTGGAGGCCCTGGAGTTGACCCTTGCTTTGGTCGTACCAAAGTGAGTGCATATGCAGGCTGTAGCTGCTACAACAAGTACGCCTACCACGGTTATGGATATCTCAGTATAAGAAGCTCGCCGAGTTATCGAAGCGTTGCCAGGATTCTCATCTTGCACTCTTCAACTCACAAATCTTCATTGCTACCGCTAGTCGCCAAGATCGGTCCGGCCCCGGGGGAAGGCGGGAAGGACAAGACGGACTCTTGTTAGCGCAGGTCGGCCGGCGAAGCGGCCGGGACCCACCAGAAGCGCCGAGCCTTCGATGACAACTCTGCAATACAACTCCAATCATGCTAGATGCCGCTATGTAGGCGTACCACGCCCGCGGTAACGACGATCTCCAATTCTGTAGCTGCAAGCACTCGTCTGATCTTCAGCAAACCTTCAATGTCGTAGCCTCAATTATGCCAGCGCATTGCTGTACCGTTGAAGGCGGCATCTTGCAATTTTGTGGAGATTCTTCGATGGTTAACAACTGAGACTGCTAAGATCCAGCGGGCAACTTTTCTTGGAAAGTCGTACTGCTGCTGCTACCTGTTGACGTGCCACGCGGGCAACGCCGGTGGATGACGATACATGTTGTGATGCAAATATCCCAGGTAGACCAGCCGCGCGTCGTATTTTATTGACCCTGCGAAACACTTTTGGAGGGGCACGTACGAGATTGAGACGATAGTCACTTGTTGTTGTGGAGTACACTGAAGCTAAGGATGGCACAGCTGGTTTTGTGCCTGACGCTTTTGAGCATTCAAACATCCAAGACCTTTGTCGACTACCTTATCTGCTCGACGTGCTAGGCTACCCGGATGCTCAAATCGAAGAATGGCATTCTTCTGCCGCCTCTGAGCTCGCATTCCTCAAAATGGCATGGTCTTTGCAATCCACGCAGCGAATCCACAGTGGGAGGTACCCACGCGGAGATGGTCTAAAAAAGGATGGGATCATTGGAGACGTTGTCACTAGGACAGCAACATACTTGACGACATTCAACTACAGAAGAAAACAATGAAATAACACTTTCGCCTCTGTAGAATAAAGTTGTCAAGGCATATCAAGAACATCCGAAGCTTCATCAAAGTCAAAAATCGCAGCTTCCGCTTCGCTGTCACCTGCCGGCCTGCGTCGCTCTAGCGCTGTCGACCCCAACTGGGGGGCACCCGGCATAAGCGACCCTGCAGAATCGGCCCAATCACAGCGCTGGCAGGTGGTACAACGTGGCTGGGGGCCCAGGCTGTCGTCACCCTCTTTCCCCAGCACGGATAAGGCTCAGGCTCGGGCTGATAAGGCCAGCTGGAGCTCTGCGACCTGCCTTTGGGGGGTTTGAAAGGCGACTCGGCGCATTGCTCCTGCACCTCCGCCAGCTGCAAAGGGAACCTTACTGCTTGCTGCCATCTTTCAGCTTTCTCCCCTCCACATCCATCCCACCACGACCAACCTACCTACGCTCCAACACGCATAGCTACCTTCCCTCGAATCTCTCGCCAGCTTAGCTTGCAAACGACTCAAAGCAGCAGCGGCAGCCGTTTTGTTTCAAGGGCTCACCTACGTCCTGCTCAACGGCCGTCCGTCCCGTGTGATGTGAAACGGAACCGGCGCCTTTTCCCTCCCGTCCCGTCTGTTTGTTTGTGTGTCGCAACCGCTGCATCCGAAGATTCCCATCGCCGCCCGCCTCGATAGACCCCGAATACCCTAGTGGAAGCTCGACTTCCCATCTAGCGATAACATGACTGCGTGGAACGTGAGTAGTCGACCGATCGACGGAGGGGCAGCTGCCGTTCGGGGACATTCGCGCTGACTAGGTGGGCAGGTGTTCCGACTACTGGGAGATGTCTCCCATCTCCTCTCAAAATGCATCTTGATGCTTGCGATACATCGCAATAGGAGTGCTGAGGGTATGTCTACTGAGCAAACTTCACGGAGCTTCTCCAAGTGCTAACAAGCCCCGCTCCTCAGGTGTCTCCCTCATCACGCAAGGGCTGTACGCTCTCGTATTCTGCACGCGATATCTCGACATATTTTCCGAGCAATCAGCATGGAACTTTATATTCAAAATATTCTACATAACATCTTCCTTTTACATTATCGGCATCATGCAGTGGGTCTACCCACGATCCAGAGAGCGCGAGATCTCTTGGAAGGTCGGCGCTGGTGCCCTTGGCGGCGCGCTCTTAGTCTCGCCCTTTGCGATGCTTATTCTAGAGAGCTACTGGAGCTTCCGAGTGGTATGTAGACACACAATCTCCCACCCCCCATCCACATATCAGCTGACACAATTCTCTTCAAGTGGCTCTGGGACTTCTCTCAGATCCTTGAATCCGTCTGCGTGCTCCCTCAGCTCCTGCTCCTGCGCCAGACCACCGTCCCCACCGTCATCGACTCCTTCTACCTCGTGACTCTCGGCTCCTACCGCGGCCTCTACCTCGTCGGCTGGATCACCCGCGAGCTTGACATCAACGACAAGGCCCCGAACCCCGTCTCCGTCATCTTCGGCATCGTCCAGACCGCCCTCTACGTCGACTTCGCCTGGGTCTACTACACCCGCCAGCGCGTCAAGCTCCGCAACGGCGGCATCGTCGACGCCGACGACATGCGCCGCAGCTGGCTCCTCAACCGCATCTTTGGCAAGCGCGTCGACATGCACTCCGACGACGAGGAGAGCGCCCCGGCCCTCGGCGGTGGCAACGATGATTCCCGTCGTGGCGGACGGCCCAAGTGGGGCGCCCGCGGCATCTCTGTCAGCGCGGACGAGGGTGTCCTCGACACCGATAGGGATAACCGCCGCCGCGACGAGGAGCTCGAGGAGGGCGTCATCGACCCCGATGCCAAGATGCAGGACCCCGATGAGCTTGCCCGGGTCCTGGATGACGACGAATCTGACTCAGACTCCAACAAGGCGTCCGGGAGCAACGGACGTGTCAATGGCGCGCCGAGCGGTATTCAGAACGGCCAGGAGTGGCGCGACAACTAGATGTTGGGCTTTGAGGCGGCCAGGCAGATTGCATGTGTGTTTGGGGACGTCTTGGTGAATATTGTATGGATAGCGGAGGTAGAAAATGGAAGAGACCTCCGACTTAGACGTGTTGTTTCTCATTAGCATTTCTCTTTGTTCTTGTCTCAAATGTTTTTGTGTCATCATCTCCTCGGGGACAGTTTGGGAGGTGGGTAGTATACCAAGGATGGACGACGCAGATGAGGAAGCGAGCGGATGTCATGAATCCACCTTTAGATGCTGTGGTTAAAAATCACAACCGTTGTAACGTGTAGCAATTGATATGGTCAGATTTCATCTTATATTCGATCCGTGGCCGTTAAATATGTCCCGGCAGCTGCTCACGCAGCTGCGCACACTGCTGCGTATGTCTCTTACGTACATGTATATCACCAACTCCGGATGCGCTGCTATGTTCCATGAAGAACGGACAAGCTGCATCTCGGACCCCCATCGCATGGCCTTGGACCAGACTGACAGCTTCAAAGTGCTGGCAGGGCATGCATAGCCTTCGTTCTCGATGACCTCCAATAGAACCACTCAAGGCTTCATTCGCATCGCAAACGCTCCAGCACAACAACGCTCATCCATATCGTATCCACGCTCAAAGATTCGAAGTCCCAGACACCGTGGGATGACGCCCGTAACTCCCGTATACACATTACAATCCAGACCGCTGTACTAAGTCGCAGTCGTCGTATTCGCCACAACCTCCGGCAAGTTCCCTCCAAAAGCAAGCGTCTGCTCGTTGGAGGTCAAGTTCGCCCAGTTCCCCGTGAGCACGGCCGAGTCGACGTCGAACCCGCCCGCGGCCGTGGTGTCGTTGATGCCCGTCGCGTTCTTCAGGTAGCAGAACTGCCCGATGCCCTTGACCAGCGCGACGCCCACGCAGATGCCGCCTCCGACGTAGACATCGTCGCCGACGGCGTCGCTGTACCCCTGGTTGTACTGCGCGCAGAGCGTCATGCAGGTCAACATGTCCGGGACGGTCATGACGAGGATGTCGCGCAGCTCAGGGTTCAAGCCCTGGCGCTGCGGCCAGAAGGTGTTGCAGAGCACGTCAAACGACATGGCTTGGTCGTTGTTGAAGCGGATCGGCGAGCCGGAGGCGTCGTACGGCGTCACCGTCGTGTTTTTGGGGGTTGAAGAAGTCTCGCAGTACGGGTTGATCGGGGCCGCGGAGGGCACGCCGAGTTCCTGTATCACTGCCGTCGGTGTGCTGTTGCTCGATGCCGAGGGCGTGTCTTCGGGCCTACGGAGGCAAAATCGTTTCGCGTCAGCCAGGGCTGCTGGCTGAGGATAGATATAGAGAGACGTACAGGGCGCAGAAGCGGTCTTCGAGCGGGAGGGGCGGGAGACAGGACGGGGAGGTAGAGTTTGGAGAAAAGAGAGAAGAGTAGAAGAATTTCCCGTTTTCTTCGGTTTCAAACGTACCGGTTAGCCAACCCCAGCGCCAAACCGACAGCGATGGCGACGCCAACGATAGTGACGCCCAGCGCGACGGCCACCCAGAACCGGAAGATGGTCAGACCAAGAATCGTCTTTCGTGGTTGGCCTTCGACCTGTCCCGCGTTCTCGAGCCTCCGCATCCAGCCCGTCATACGGCCCCCCTCGTCAGGCACCGACGCCGGCGACGGCGCCACAGCCGCCGCTACTGGAACACGAGCTATCGGGGATACCGACCGCTCCGCGCTGATTCTCCGAGATTCTGGATACGGCGGCGAGTCATCCGGGACGTCACGGAGATGTGCAGTCTGGGGATACGAATTGTCGACATGTTGTATCCTAGGCGCCTCGATTGGTGATACGTCTTGTGTTTGCCTGGGGTCGACGGTGACGTTCCCGGGTTGTCGCCTTTCGTGGACCGGGATGATGAACTTGTGTTTTTCCTCCTCCATCTCCATGTTGGGCACCGGCCCGCGGCGGGCGGTGGAAAAGAACGGCTTGTTTGGGCTTCGCTTCGTTTCTCGCCTCGATCGCGTTTACTCCCCTTTTCCCTTGGGGGTCTTAATTCGTTGCGCCAAGTGGTGGCATGCAGGTCCCCGGCGTGTAAGATTCGACGAAACAACGGGCCGCCGCTGCAGCCTCCCTTATCCCTCTTGATGGGATGAATACGATATGGTGGGCAAGTGAAAAGAGGCTACCCGACCGTCGTGTAAGGGTAAAAAGGAGGATTACGCCCGGAAATGTTGGATGGCGGAAGATTGGGAAAAAGGCAGCACGCGGGGCTAGCAGGGACGGCAGTCGCGCGTGGGTAGCAGCCGATTCCTTGGGGGCAATGAATGCGAGAAAGGGGATGCAACGTGGAGACGACAGTGAGAGAGTGTGCTGGTAATGCTGATGGTGCTGCCTGTATCTCGGTCTTTGCTTGGCTCAAGACGACTGTGCCTCTGGCTTTGGTGTAGACGGTCCACTCGGGAGCCTTCCTTCAATCCTTCTTCTTTCAGCTCCGGAGAAGGTGGGAGGAGATGCCCAAATCGAAAAGATAACCGTCTTTTGCCATAGGGTTGGACTTGTTTAAAGGCTGGGATAGAGACCTCGGGCGTTCCCCGGACAGGGGGGGTCACAGTCGCTCACTTGAGCCTGTTCTGCGCTGCAGAAGGGTGATTTTAAGATGTGGCTGTAGCCGATATAGTTGTGGAACAATTGTCATGGATGGAGCCTCTCATGGACAGGCAAAAGGCGTCCTAGACCATGGGCGATTGTGTAAAGGTCCAAATTTAAACCAAGGAAATCCAGGGATATGCGTCTGCGGGCGCTGGTGTGTGCGTGTCTACTGTTTTGCGTGCGGCGTGTGTGTGGTTGTGTGTGTGCTGTCTTATCCGCAATACGGCAGCTCTTCGGACGATTGACAAGACAAGATTTCATGCGCGTGGGATGCATGGCAAGGCACGGGGAAAGAAAGAAGCAAGTGCTAGCACTGGCGCTGTGCTAGGCTCCTCGCCTCTGGGTTTCTTCTGTGGCCTTGGTCTTGTTCCGGCATTTGGAACCGACTCATGCAGGGATTGGGACAGCGATTGTCAGCGAATGGTGTCCCCGTCGTCTGCAATCGATCATCATCCCGCCTTGCGTGAAAAGGGGAGTTCGTCCGGGCTCCCACTCGGGGAAAATGTGGAGGCACACCCCACGCGACGGTCCGCCTGAGCTGTTTGGTTTTTAAGGCCCATGGGGGTGGTTGCGGGCGTCCAATTGCCTGCTCTGGGGTGTAGTGTCGCTGATGGAGGCGCCTGTGCGACCAAGAAACGCTGCGAGAAGCACCAGTCATCCGCCCAGCTTCGTGTTCATGATTGACTTTTTTTTCACCGGCTGTTGTTCAATGTTGAAAGTTTGGTCGATCAAGAAAAAGCGAGGCCTTGACAGGTCACGCGGGAAATCTGTCGGCCAAAATCCGGCGTACCCGATCCGCGGGATGTAACGGAGTGGCCTGTCATTTCGGAGGCATTGTGGGCTTTTGACGTTGGTAGGGCCGAACGTCTCTCCACGATATAGCGGATTTGCCCGCCGTTCGAGGGCGTTGTCGGGTTCGGTGTGGATTGTCGAGCGATTCTCTCGCAGTCTTCGCGAAATGAATCCCGAGCTCGGAAGAGATGTCGAGGACAGCAATGAGAAGGGATAAATGAGGAGCACAAACAGGAAGGGGCGTCACGTGCCTTCTCCCCAGAGAGCTTAATGCAGCAACAACAACGACAACAACCACCTGCCAGAGGTAAAATTGACTACACTTTCCAGGAAAGCAGTAGTTGAGGACGCATTATGCCTACCCTCCATTGCCAATACTCTCGCAGGCGCCTGTCCTAGCACCGTCTTGCCTCGAGTCGCACGACCAGTACCTCCATTTTGGCGGCGGTCGTGAGTTAGATCTAGCGCTCATGTTGGCAGTGAATGCCGTTGAGTGTTTTGTCGATGCGGGCGAACAGCAGCACTTTCTCAGCCCTAACATTCATCAACGGGCTGCCCAAAGCGTATGGTTTTGTTGCTATTTCGATTCACTGATCTATACTTCTCTGCTTCTTGCCCTGTGCTTCCCAGACGTAACCACGTTACGAGGAAACGCAGACAAGTGATGTGCTTCTCCGCACATCCGTCGCATATGGGACAGCTGCCGATGTGTGTCGCCTAATCCTGTTGCCTTTGGGCTTGGTGCTTTGTTTTAGACATGTCTGGTGATGCAACTTCGATCCGGCATCTCTGAGCGGAAGCCATAGTTCTCCTATTTTGACTTAAACTCGATGTCATCAGGTAGATCCCATCATTCTCATCGCCGACTTCGCAAGATAGCTATTGGTATCATTTTAGCTGTTTCAAGTAAAGGATGGCTTTTTCAATTTCTCTTGTATCGTTGAATAAAAGGAAAAGAAAAAGAAACAGAAAGGGCACACAACAAGATCGGATGCTGAAGAAAAGGAAACAAACCAGGACTAGAAGCAAGAAGCAAAAGATTCATTTTGAACCTAGAGCCCTAGCAAGTAGGGTTATTGTGAAACCCAGGGGGCCAACACTGCTGTAGACCTGACCACTGGGTCACTTAGACCTTCTCTCTATTCGCAATATTCACACCAAGGTTCACTGAGTATTCCAGCTTCTTCGAAAGAGTCCATTCCCTCAGAAGAACCTGGCCCTCATAAGCACCACCAGCACAGTATGACCCTATTAATCGCCTCACGAATGATGAGTCGTCCCTGTATCTCGTCCTTGTGCTTTGGAGCTTCGTTAAGCTGATTGGTTCTGTAGCCTATGGCAAGTATATAATCATAGAACTCGGAAGTGGGCATAGGTAAACCATCTTACTTGGAGGATGTTCCCGTGATAGAGGATGCCTTGCTCTGCCCCCGTAGTTCCTGTTGTGAGCCCGTAGCTATTTATCGTCCTCTGCAAATGTGGCAAGAAAGGCTAATTCCGGATATAACTCAAGGATATGATAACAGGAAAATACTTGTTTATCCTGCCCGGTTCGAGGCTGTAACTCATCCGCGGGGGTTTTCCTACGAATAAATAATCATGTCTTAACACAAGTCCACTCAGTCTACCGCTGTCACACCTCATGGGAGACCTGTAGTCCCAGCCATGACTCCAAGACGACGTCTCTTCTCTACCTATACTCTGATTTGAAAAGGCTTCTATACAGCGGCTATCGCTGACCTTTATGTATCATATCAGGAGCTGATAAGAATCAGGACACATCTCTCACAAGTCCGGAGTAGAACAAGAACAGGAGTAATTCCAAATGTGTTATGATCTGAATCAGAGTTGATTGTCACAGAAAGTGAATGGCTTTGACAGTTTCAATCATCGAGCCAGAAATGTATGCTGTGTCACATCGTGCCACTGATAACCGGTTCATGCACTGAAACACCACTATGTGAATCTGCAAAAGTGTATGAAATAGTACGACATGTGACGGTTCATTCAGGCTCATAATTGAAAAGCAATGCATAGAAACAATCAAATCCCGATGCTTTCCTCGAGAAAATCGCTTGATGGATGTGTCGTGAAGTGAGTAAGCCAAACCGTCCTCATATACCTCCGCCGCAGACCGTCCGCCGAGGAAAGAAAAAGTGGATCGAATCATCCGCCCGGCGGCTTCGGTCCGGCTGCACTCATCCAACCGGGCATTTTCACCAGAAGCTCGGAAACTGAGAGAGAGCAACTTGCCACAGAGGGTGGTGGTCCGGGCATCCGCCTCGCATAAACATGCCGTGTAGCCAACATGTTTGACTTGTTTGGATGACAGCAAGGCATCCTTGCCGCGCGCTGGCTAAGTGAACCTTTTACCCCGCGAACCACGCACCATTACATGCCTTCTCCGACCTGAGCTTTCCCCGGACGAGTTATCCGAGGTCTACAGAGTTTGGTGCGAAGCACCATTCATGCGGCGATCCGCGCTGGGTGCCGCGTTGAAGCTTCTTTGAAGGTTGTGACACACGGTTTCGCGGTTCCTGAGAAGAAGACGACGATGGGAAAGTTTGTACATTTGATGATGGGTACGTATAGTAACTAAAACGCTTTCATCCAAACCGCAGATGCTCCGTCTCTCTGCGGCGCCGTGGGGATCGTCAAAACCCGCTCCTCCCGACCTGCCCTTTTCAAGCCATGGGGTCTTTGATGGCTGTCCCCGAGGTATCTTGACCACGTTGTAACTCCTGTACATATAACAGAGATGAAGAAAGATTCATGAAAATCAATGAACGAAGCGCCTCTCAAACTCATCGAAGAGCAGGGGGCTGATGTCGTCGCTGCTCATGCCCTCGACCTCCCAGAGGACGCCCTTCTTGGCGTAGTGCTCCAACAGGGGCTCGCTAGTCTCCTGGAACTTGCGGAAGCGCTCCTTGTAGACGGCCTCGGTGTCGTCCGGACGCTGGGTAAGGGGCTCCCCGGTGACGTCGTCCTTGCCGGGCACCATGGGAGCGTTGAAGGTGGTGTTGTACACACGGCCGGAGGGCTCGTGGACCCAGCGGCCGGAGATGCGCTCCATGATGACGTGGAAAGGCGTCTTGAGGGAGACGACGAGGTTGATGGGGATCAGCTTGTCGCAAGTCGCGGCCTGGGGCGCGGTGCGCGGGAAGCCGTCCAAGATGAAGGATGCCGAGGGGTCCTCCGAAGCCTCGGGTGGGCTGTGGCTCTCCAGAGCGCCTGAAGCGGTGACGAAGTCGTCAAGCTGCTCCTCGTAGAAGGCGTCGACTGTGGCAGCTGAGGAGGCCAGGGTCATGACCTGGGGGCGGCCGCGGTTGACGAGCCAGCCGTTCTTGTACATCTCGTTAGAGATGAGGCGCATAATCAAGTCATCGGCTACGAGGCCGCCCGACTTCATGGTCTTCTCGACCTTGATACCTACAGTGAATGGTGGTTAGCATGTGCGATGTGGTAGGCTGTGCGTGCGCGCAACATGTGAAAACATACCGAGAGGGGTCCGGAGCTTGACATTATTGCGGAGAAGGTCGCCCGTGCTAACAGACTGGAGCTGCGGAAACCGTTGAAGAAGGCGTTCAGACTGCGTTCCTTTTCCAACACCGGGGGCACCGACGAGAATGACGCGGGCGGCTTTGCGGAGTCTCATAGTATACGAGGGTCAATTGGTAATCGGCGCAAATGGTCGATTGGGTGCCTCGGAGGTTTGGGGGGAGGGGAGATGTTGGGGGAGACTCGGGGAATAAGAGAGTCGAGGTCGAGTTCAAATCGGAGCTTCGAAATTGGCTGGCGTAATTGATGGCTCTTTTTTCCCGGGACGTGCGGGGGAAGAGGGACGAGTCGGAATCGCGAGACCCTAACGGGATCGTGGTCGGGGGGATGTTTAGGAGCAGTCCATGGCCACTGCGAGAAGTCGAAAAGCTGATATTTGGGACAGTCTGGGGGAAGGGAAGGAGGGAAAGAGGAAGCAAGAGAGACTGACGGGGAAATGTCGAGGTGGTACAGCAGGATAATGGAATGCCGAGCAGGGCGGGTGGAGAAGAGCGAGCGGACGCAGAACCGCGGTGGTGGGATGCAGCAGTGCGAGTGCAGGGGGCGATAGAGATTGGCGCGCACCTCGGACGGGGATCCATGGATGCTTGGAAATCGGGCGATTGTCGGATGGGCGTTGAGCGCTGCCACTTTGCGTACCTTAGGTGGCCGACGGCCGGCGGGTTAAACCAGCCGTTGAACTGCCCTTAGGTAGTAGTGCCTTGGGTATCGTCCTTCCAACAGATTATTTCTTAGAGACAGTCGGCAGTTGTCTGTTCGTTTCTTGCTGCTTATCTAAGTGGTAGATTCACCGTGGAGGAACACCTTGTTGAACCCTTCGCTGGCTGAGATGCCTTGATACTCCTCGACAGCAGGACCTCTGTGCCGGGTCTTGGGGGCCACGGTGCTGCGTTCCCAGAGAGGTCGGTCCGCGGTCTCAAGCTCTAAAGTCCGGGGTACACTAGTAGCACTGGACATAACTCCATGCCCCGACACCAACACCCGTTGGCGGGCAAGGTCCAGCGTGGTGTCATCACTTTTTTGCTCATCTTGGGGATAAGATAAGCGCACAGAGGCGAAGAGGATACCCGGCCTTGGGTACGTACCGCCGCTGACGGCATCGGCCTGGTCCCGGCTGGCACTCGCAGGCTTGAGTATGTCTGCCAGCTGGCAAGCCGAATGGACTTCTACTCGAGTAGGTAGCCAGGCTTGCCAGGACCCTTTGCCCCTCCAGCTCGTCTCCTCACCAAAAAGTTGTGAGCGGAGCTTGGAAAATTTCAGGGAGCATTTGTTGAGGCGTCCTTCGGCTGCGCAGCCGTCATTATCAGCACATCACATTCCGATCACGCACTGCTCCAACCCAAACCTGTGAAGTCTTGCAAGATGCTGGCCCCAAAATGATACACTCAAAGGCCCGATGAGTTGGGGTGATGAGCTGGCTGCTGAGGCTTGAAAGTAAAGTCATAAACATGTCCTAGCCCCTCACTTGGACCATCTCGGTCCGGTATCCGAACATCGACTATTTACAACGGGGACATTTTGGAACTCGATGATGGCCGCCTCAGCCGTAGGTAATCCATTGCCCCCTGCCGAGGTGCACCTTGCAGAACCAAGCAAGCAGTACCTTATTAGCCAAGGTAGACAAGCACTTCAAAAGATGAAAGGCACCGCACCCTGAATTGGCAACAAAACAACCCAAGGCCGATACCGCCGATCTGTCCTCCACTCGACGCCATCTAGACGGCCCACGTCAGTCTCGACCAAGGGACAAGTCAGATTTCAGGCAAAGGGAATCTGCATCAGTTCGTTGTAGCTGCTGCGGTCCACGTCCACGGCGGTGCCGCAGCCTCTGGTGGCCATGGCCGGCTTATTCTGGCCCCTCTAATCCCATCGCCGACACGGGCAAAGGGCAACACTTCGCGCAGCCCAGCGGACCAGAACAACATGGAAGCACCGCCAGACGGCTGCTCGTCCAAAGGCAAGTTGCCAGCAAGCCCAGCGGGATTCACAATGTTTAGCCAGCTAAGCCCGGCATGACCCACCGATCTACAGGAGACCGCCGGTGTCTTCTTTGCTACCCATGTGGCGATGGCAGAGGCGAGCCAATCAGCTATCTGTCTTGGGCCAAACAGTGGGCGGCCAGGCTGGTCCGGGCTCAGCCCAGCACACTCAGCACCCAGATTCGAGAAAAAGGTACTTTCCAAAAAGATACGTGCCGGGATCTGGACGCAAGCCGTGCTGTGCTGCGGCCTTGCGGAGCGTGCCAACTGCCTTCGGCGCCTCGTCCGTGCTTGCGTGCTCTCCAGCGTCCCGCTGTCTCTGCAGAAGTACCCAGTGTACTGCAAACGAACCCCGAGTTGCGAGAGAGATACAGAGGGAGGAGACGGCACCAGCGAACGAGAGACGAGGAGGCAAAACCCCGTGATTTCGCACGTGCTGCACCCGGTCCCTGGACCCCCCCGGAATGGGTGGTTTCGGAAGCCAGGGACAAGTCGTGGTAGCACCCCATTTGATGCGATCGGTTGCCCTCCATTCCAGAATTCTTGAGTCGTTTCGCATCGCATTACATCTCCCCGTCCTTCCTCTTCATCACTGTTCTGTACTTAGTTTGTAGTATATTGCCTACATACACTACGTCGCCCATGACCGTTGCTCTACGATAGCTTGTCGATTATTCCCACCCACTTTACCCACCAACCAGCTGCTGCACCTCCTTACCCTCGAATTTGCCATCAAAGAAAGGACTGCTGCAGAATGAGCGCCTCAGCAAATGTCGCTCGTCGGGCGGTGATTGCGAATCCGTTCCTGGGCAACGGTAAGCCAGACCTACTGCATCTGCCCCTCGACACTGCCTCCTGTCTTGGGAGACTCTGAATGTTTTCTCTGACTCTCTGCAGCGCGTGCGCTGTCCACTCTCGGTGTTTCGCCAGCTGTGCTCGGCCGAAACGCAAGGCACCTGCCTCGTCGAACAAACGCCCTCGCAATTCTCGTTCCCCTCCGCCAACTGGGCACCGATCACCACAACCACGGCCAACACTCTGGCCCGCCGCCGGGCTTCAATGTGGAGGAGGCTAAGAAACCTCTCCCCAAGGAGACGGCGACAGCAGCCAAGACCGAGTCCAAGGCGACAAAGGAATCCAACGATGCCTCTCAGTCCGAAAAGGCAGCCTCCGGCGACAAGGCTCTTGCCGACAAGGACAAGGCCGACTCCGATGCTTCATTGACGGAACTTGCTGCCGCCAAAAACGCCGCCGTTGAGACAAAGAAGGATGGGAAGAAGGACGAGAAATTGACCGTATGGCAGAAGGTCAAGAAGGAGGCTCACCACTACTGGGATGGAACGAAGCTGCTTGCCGCCGAAGTCAGGATCAGCACCCGCCTCGCCCTGAAGATGGCTGCTGGATACGAACTCAGCCGGAGAGAGAACAGGCAGCTGCGCCGCACTGTTCAGGACCTTGGTCGCCTAGTCCCATTCTCCATGTTCGTCATCGTTCCATTTGCCGAACTTCTTCTCCCCGTCGCCTTGCGGCTCTTCCCCAACATGCTTCCCAGCACGTACGAGGGCCAAAAGTCCAAGGATGCCAAGGCCAACACACTGAGGGCGACGCGCAAGGAGGTCAGCGAGTTCCTCCGATCTAGTCTTAAGGAGACTGGACTGCCTTTAACCCCCGCAACCACCCAGAGTGAGGCTTTTACGGTCTTCTTCAGGAAGCTCCGCTCTTCCGGCGAGTCGCCGACTCACGAGGATGTCATCAAGGTCTGCAAGATCTTCAAGGACGACCTCACTCTCGACAACCTGTCAAGACCCCAGCTGGTCTCCATGTGCAGGTACATGAACCTCAACACCTTTGGCACGGACAACATGCTCCGTTACCAGGTCAGGCACAGAATGCGCCAGATCAAGAGAGACGACAGGCAAATCAGCTACGAGGGCGTTGACAGCCTGACCGTGGCCGAGCTGCAGGTGGCGTGTGCCAGCCGCGGCATCCGCACGCACAGTGTTTCCCCTGCGAGAATGCGCGAGTACCTGCAGCAGTGGCTCGACCTCAGATTGAAGGACGGTGTTCCTTCGACTCTGCTGGTTTTGAGCAACGCCTACATGTACGGCCAGGTCCCTGCCCACAGCCAGATCGAGGCCCTCGTCGGCGTCCTCTCCTCCATCCCTGATGAGCTCTTCCACGAGATCTCTCTTGAGGTGCACACTGCCGAGGGCGCTGCCACGAACAAGCAGCGTCTCGAGGTTCTCAAGGAGCAACAAGAGCTCATTGACGAAGAGAACAGCCAGAACGAGGAGAACGCCAGCACCGGCTTTGCCACGCCTCGCGATGTAGACAACATCGACGAGAAGGAGGACAACCAGTCTGCTGAGGCTCAGGCGGCACCCAAGAGCCAGGCTCAGGAGGCCAAGGAGGCCGAGCAGGAGATGCTGGCGGCGAGGGACCAGACCGCCCAGACTGAGAAGAAGGCGGAGAAGAGCGACCAATAGATCGCTCCACAGCTGCAGACAAGCACATTTCCTTTTCTTTGTTAGACGTGTATGGCATAAGGCTGGGTAGCGTGTACTAAAACAGGGTTCATGACACCCAGGGGAACAGCACAGGTCACTAGAAAGATCCATCTCAGGAAACCACCAACAAATAGATTCCACTACTGTACAACGGGGACGGATATTGTGTAAATGCCACCACTATTTATGTAGAATACCTACAAGAATGAAATGAACTCTTGACCATCTTGGTGCAGACTCCTTCAGTTCCTCCCATGTCTTCGGTCCTCTGGTCTCAGCCTGGCCAAAGCTTCGGTGTCAACTGCCAATCGAAACGGGTGGCTATCAGGTGGAAAAGGAAGAAGAAAAAAGCGGTCCCTGGCCTGGCTCTGGCTGGTGTCGGTGCCAGCCCAAGAGGTTGTTGCACCGCTCTGTCTGCGGCTTCGTCATAGCCTCCCGAAACTGGGGTCCAGGCAGGAGTTCCGAGTGTTGCCCGGCTGCTAGCGAGTGACCTCAGTGGTTGCCGCTTCCAGGGTGATTTTGTGGGTACCCGAGTGCTCCCCCGCTATCGCGCTGTCCCAAGCTTGCAGCGTCACCAACGTACGGTGCGGCGACAGCACAGGCAGCTCCCT